GAAAGAAAAGGAAAGAAAAGAAAAGAAGAGAAAAGAAAAGAAGAGAAAAGAAAAGGAAAGGAAAGGAAAGAAAAAAAGGAAAGGAAAGGAAAGGAACGAAAAGAAAAGAAAAGAAAAAAGAAAAGAAAAGAAAAGAAAAGAAAAACATCAGCTCTAAATCTAAACTGAGACTTTGACATTTGCCTGGAACATGGAAAAGTTACATGATTTGCCCATGGTCACATAGCTTTTATACATATGTATGCATATCTTTATTAGGCAGGACTTGAACCCAGCCCTCTAGCTCTTCCTGACTCCAAGTGTGGCTCCCTCTCCAATTGAAACATTGCATCTCCTAATATCATTATGCTTATTTAACTTCTTTGCTCTTCTTTTCTCTTTGTTCTTATGGCACAGAGACTTTTACTGGCCAAACCAGCTTCACAAAACCTTAACAGCCCACAACAAGAAATAAAGATGTTTAAATAGTGCCATTAGCCTCCCAGGCAGGTTTGGTCCCAGCATGTCAATACAAATCTAGACAAATGCCACACACATGTTATGAAAGCTTTACATAGAAAAGTGCACAGTTTTATCCAGTAGCTCTACAGAGAATCATTGCATTCTGAGGGAGGCGGGGGACAGAGGGTCAAGAGCCCTAGTTTTTAGAGTTAGAGTACTGGCCTTCAAATCCTGTCTCTGGTACTTATTACCTGGATGAGCCTGGGAAAGTTATTTAACCCTTTGGGGTTTCAGTTTCATCTGTAAAATGGGAGTATTTTATCTCTGGGTTCCATAAACCAATTGACCTCCATTTATTCTAGCTCTAACCTATGAAATGATTTCAAGAGAACATGCTAATGATGACTTGGACCACAGTGAAACTCTCCCACCGTGATGAGGCTGAACTAATCATTGCCAATGTTGGTTATTTCCACACTTACAGGCATAAAGCAATTGGAAGCATTGAAGTCCCCACGCCTGATAAAAACCCATTTGCCAGTTGAACTCCTTCCTTCTTCTCTGTGGAAAAATGATTGTAAGGTAATCAATTCTCTTTTTTTTGGCTAGGCAATGGGGTAGAGTGACTTGCCCAGGGTCACACAGCTAGTAAGTGTCAAGTGTCTGAGGTCAGATTTGAACTCAGGTCTTCCTGACTTCAGGGTTGGTACTCTATCCACTGTGCCACCTAGTTGGCCCTAAGGTAATAAATTCTAAAGGAAGGAGGAGGTTGAGGGGGAGGCTGGCCTTCTCCAGCCAGGACTTCCATCTGCCTTTAATGGAAGAGGTATTTGCTGCCCAGGGAGGAGACAATTAGGGAAAATCTTGCCTGCAGGGACCCCATACCGGTAATCAGAGACTCACAAATCAGAGGTACAGAATTTTAGTAATGGCTATCATTTTATATAACATTTTAAGGTTTGCAAAGTACTTTACAAATACTATTTCATTTTGCCCTCATAATTATGCTGGGAGGTAGGTTCTATTATTATTCCCATTTTGCCAATGAGGAAACTGAGTCAGAGGTTAGGTGGCTTCCCTAGGGTCACACAGCTGAGTCTGGATTTGAACTCAGCTCCTCCTGACTCCCGGTCTAGTGCTTAATCTACTGGGTCACGGATCTGCTTCCCTTCCTAGGGATTCTCCCACAATAACATTATGTTTCTAGGTATACATGTGACATGATATTGCAGTATAATACAGTGGGGAAAAAAAACTGCCACATCAACAAGCACTTATGAAGGTTATTTCTCCCCCAAAGAATGTCAGTTCCTTTAGGATAAGATTTTCTTCTTTATTTCCTTACCATTTTTGTATCCCTAATACCTAGCACAGTGCCTAACACATAGTAGATACTTAAGAAATACATGAATGAATTAATTGAATGAAGTCTCTTCAAGAGTAAGCATCCCTCACTGGAAAGTCCCTTGATCACCCTGGCTATTGGACCTTCTTACCAGTCATCTCATACATACCTGAACAACTGATAATCTTAAAGCACAGGTCTAAACAGGTCACTCCCCCATTAAAGAAGTTTATAGGACCCCTGTTGGACTCTAGGATGAATACAAATTCCATTACTTGACCTTTGAAACCCTTCAAAACCTATCTCCAGCCCACTTTCTCAGCCATAGTACGAATAATGCTCCTTCATACACTAAGTTCCAGTGAAATTATGTATTTTGCTGTCCCAGGTGCTGAACTCCCTGTGTGACCCTGGCTGAGTTCATTCGCCTCACTTACCCTCAGTTTCCTCATCTACATAACGAGGGAATTGGAAGGTCCTTTCCAGACTTAGATCTGTGCTCCTATGGTCTTCTATTTCTTACCTCTTATGAGTTATCAGGCTGTCTCCGGTGGTTGGAATAAATTCCCTCCTCACTTTTGCCCCAGCATCCATAACTTGCTTCAAGGCTTAGCTCAGATTCCACCTCTTATAGGATTCCCCCCATTTATGAGTCCTCCCCATGAAAATTACCTTTTACTTGTATATTTTGTATTTAGTTTTCTTGGTATGTCATTTCTCTCCCAAAGGAATGTAAGTTTCTTAAAAGCGAGGGCTATTTTGCTATTATCTTTGTATGCCTAGCAAATAATCAGTGACTTGCCCAAGGTCACACATAAGTGTCAAGTCTCTGAGGCCAGATTTGAACTCAGGCCCTCCTAACTCCAGGGCCAGTGCACCATCTAGATTTCCCACACAATAGAAACTTAATAAATACTTGGTGAATAGATGAATAAATGGTTTTAAAACTTTATATAGTAGCCAACTTTCATGACTTCATAAGTAAAATGTAATTAACACAGTTAGCATTTTCTTTGATGACTGCAATGCCTTAATATCATTCTTTTGATGTAATAAGAGTATCTCTCATTGAAGCAGATAGGGATGAACTAAGCTACCCTGGGCCATCTCCAGGGACATTTTTGGCCCACCTGAAGGACTTGGTCTTTAAGATGGTGATACAACACCCTTCCTGGCCACGGAGAAGGAAGAGCTGCCCACTCAGTAGGCATTATTTTTTTTCTTTTTGGTGAGGTAATTGGGGTTCAGTGACTTGCCCTGGGTCACACAGCTAGTAAGTGTCAAGTGGCTGGTCTGAGACCAGTTTTGAACTCAGGTCCTCCTCACTCCAGAGCCGGTGCTCGATTCACTAGCTGTCCCCCCAATAGTCATTATTTAAAGGGAGAGAGAACTCCTGCCCTGACTCCCTACTTCCCACAGGAAGTCTCAGAGAGAGTTCCAAGGCACACATTCTTTCAGGAAAACAAAAAGTAGAGAGTAAAAGCAGAAGTTGTCTCTCTTTTCAGCTCCACCCTGAATGTTCCCATGGGGTTGTGCTCTTGTCAGAGGAGATAGGGAAAGAAGACCTGGAAACCCCTATTACAACAAAATATTAATACTGAGTCATTGCAGTCATCAATAAATTGAGTTTATGAGGGTGGCTGGGTGGTGCAATGGATAGAGCACTGGCCCTGGAGTCAGGAGCCATTCACTAGCTGTGTGACTCTGGGCAAGTCACTTAACCCAAATTACCTCACCAAAATAAATAAATAAATTGAGTTTATTATATTATATTATATTATATTACATTATATTATATTATATTATATTAGAGCTAGGTGATGTAAAGGATGAAGTGTTAGATCTAGAGTCAGGGAGATCTGAGTCCAAACCTCCCTCAAACACTAGCTATTTGACCCTGGGCAAGTCACTTAACCTTTGCCTGCCTCAGTTTTTTAATCTGTAAAATGAAAATAATAATAACACCTACCTCACAGGGTTGTTGCATGGATCAAATGAGATACTATATATAAAGAGCTTTGCAAACTTTCAAGCTATATAATATTAGCTATTATTATTACCTGCTAAGTCATGAACATTGGCTGCTATATTTTTAAAAATCCAGCCATGAAACTTCAAAACTCAACAAGTTGGTATAGAGTGCCTACTACATGATAGGTACCATACCACGCATACCAAAAAAAAAAAAAAAACAGTCCCTGCTTTCATTCTCCAGGGGGAGAGGGAGGGGAGAATGACATGTAAGGAAAAAAACTAAATATTTCATGTTCAAAATACAAAGTAAGTCTCCCCACTCCACAGAACAACAGTTTTTTTGTAGTAGGAGAAATATGCTATCCTGTCAACTCATCCACCCCTCTCCCAAAGCCCGAGCCTTATCTATAACATCCTCAACTGTGGACATATGCCAGAAATATTTGGAGTTTTTTCATAGAGTCTCTGATGTCAGGCTTGTTTTTTTGTGATTGGCTTGTTTCCACTAAAGATAGAGTACAGGAAAAGATTCTAATTGAAGGTTATAGTTTAATTGGATTTTGGTTACCTGGAATTTTTTCATATACGACATTTGTATTTCTGATGACAATTTCTTCCTAGTTAGAAGCCACACATGCAATGGTGTGCTGGTGTATGTTTAACAACTAAGCCCTAAAGTGCACCTGGGTGGCTCAATGGATAGACCACTGGGCCTAGAGTCAGGAAGGCCTGAGTTCAAATCCTGCCTTAGACACTTACTAGCTGTGCAACTCTGGGCAAGTCACCTAATCCTGTTTGCCTCAGTTTCCTCATCTGTAAAATGAACTGGAGAAGGAAATGGCAAGCCACTCCACTGTCTTTGCCAAAAAAAAAAAAAAAAGCCAAACAGCATCATGGATAGTTGGACATAACTTAAACAACTGAAGAACCCCAGGGGGAAAAAATGGTAGGATAGACACATTTAAGTTTAACCACATTAAAGGATTAGGTGGATTTTCTCCACCACTTTCTTAATTATAGACAATCAATAAAACAATAAATCAGCCCTGATTTGTAGCCTTTGCCAATATTTGAGGTGTAAATGCTCACACTGAAAATTTAAATCAGTTCTCTCAAGCCAATTCAAGCTGGCTCCAAAACATGCCTGGAGAACTGAAAGTGTCGCCTTCTCCCCTCCATGTTGTGCTAATGCACAGCTATGGAGGCCCTATGTTAGAGGACAGATGTGGAGGCCTAGATCTGAAAGTAGGAAGGGGAAACATCTGTTCTAATAATACAAGTACATGTTACTGAAGTCACTTAATTATCTTCTTGTAAAAGAATATGAATGAAAATATATGGAGAATTAAGTCAAATCTATAAGAATACAAGTCATTCCCCAATTGATAAATGGTCAAATGACATGAACAGGCAGTTCTCAGATGAAGAAATTAAAGCCATCTATAGTCATATGGAAAAATGCTCTAAATCACTATTGATTAGAGAAATGCAAATCAAAACAGCTCTGAGGTACCACATCATACCTATCAGATTGGCCAACATGACAAAACAGGAAAATGATAAATGTTAGAGAAGATATGTGAAAATTGGAACACTAATGCATTGTTGGTGGGGTTGTGAAATGATCTAACCATTTTGGAGAGCAATTTGGAACTACGCCCAAAGGGCTATAAAAATGTGCATACCCTTTGACCCAGCAATAGCACTTCTAGGGCTTCATTCCAAAGAGACCATACAAATGGGAAAAGGACCCACATGTACAAAAATATTCATAGCAGCTCTTTTTGTGGTGGCAAAGAATTGGAAATTGAGAGGATGCCCATCAACTGGGGAATGGCTGAACAAGTTGTGGTACATGAATGTGATGGAATACTATACTATACTATAAGAAATGATGAGCAGGCAGACTTCAGAAAAACCAGGAAAGACTTGCATGGTCTGATGCTGAGTGAAGTGAGCAGAACCAAGAGAACGTTGTACACAATAACACCCACATTGTGCGATTACTAATATTGATAAACTTAACCCTTCCCAGCAATACAAGGATCTAAGACATCTGCAAAGGCCTCCTGATGGAAAATGCTATCCACATCCAAAGAAAGAACTACGGAAGTTGAATTGCTATTTATTTCCTCTCCTGTTGAGTTTTGTTTCCTCTTTCTGGTGGTTCTTCCTATTGGTTCTAATTTTTACTTACAACATCACTAATATGAATATATGTTTAATAGGAATGTATATGTATAGCCTGTATCAGATTGTGCGCCGTCTTGGGGAGGGTGGTAGGGAGGAAGGGGGAGAAAAATTTTAAACTCAAAAGCATATGGAAGTGATTGTTGATAAATCAAAATAAATTTATAAAAAATTAAAAAAAGAGAATATGAATGAAACCCCACAAAATCTCCCATCTCTTCCCACAGATGATCTATGTGGCACGGAACGCTAAGGATGTAGCTGTCTCTTACTATTATTTCTACAAGATGGCGAAGATACACCCAGAGCCTGGTACCTGGGAGGAGTTTCTGGAGAATTTCATGACTGGAAAGGGTAAGACCAACTATTCATTGGAGCTCAGAACTCAAAAGCAAGAAGTGTCCTGGAACACACAGTGAGTGCTTAATAAATGCTTGATGACTTAGTGATTGAATAAGTGGACATGAAGTTCACAGTGAATCAAGACATATTGATTGAGGTCCCTTTCTTTACTTCCTATTCTCTTAGACAACTGGTGGCAGTGAATAGAATGCTGGATTTGGTGCTAGGAAGACTTGAGTTCAAATCCATATTCAGACACTGTGTGACCTTAAGAGGTTACTTAACCTCTCTCAGCCTCAGTTTCCTCACTTGTAAAATAGGGCTAATAATAGCACCTCATTCCAAGGCTGTCATGAGACTCTTTTTAAAAAGATAACACTCTTAAAATGCTTTGCAAACCTTAAAGCACTACATAAATGCTATTATTATTATTACAGAAATGAAGGAAAAATAAAAAACAGAGGTGAACATGACTAAAAAAAATGAACATTTTACGGTATCCCTTCCAATGGAAGAGGTGTTTATAAATCATCAGAACTTATAGATCATAATTTTTCAGAATCATTTGCCAAAATTTATTCTTATTACCCTAGTGTAGCCCCTGATCTTATGACAGAAATGTTTCAAAACTCTCCTAACTTGTGTTCCTGCCTCCAATCTGCACCTTTTCAAATCTACCACATTTTGCAAAATTTGCTCTTGTATAAAATCCTCAGTTTCTACAGAATAAAATGGAGATTGCTTGGTCTGTTATAAGGGAAGGACTACACTGATTATCTTACCCACTTAAAAGTAATTACCTAACCTTAACAAATTAGGTTATTGTTGTTATTGTTGCTGTTCTGCCATTTTCCGTCCTATCCAACTCTACGTGACCCTATTTGGGGTTATCTTGACAAAGATACTAGAGGTGTATGCCATTTCCTCCTCCGGTTCACCTTACAGATGAGGAAACTGAGGCAAAGAGTTAGGTGACTTGTCCAGAGTCACCAGCTGATGTGTCTGAGGCCAGATTTGAACTCAGTCTTCCTGATTCCAAGCCCTTCACTGTATGCACTGCAGCACCACCTCACTGCCCCAACAAATTAGGTAAGAACACCTTTTTGATTGAATCACAAGGTCAGAACGGAGTGTGAACAAAGCCTATACACCTCCCTGAATTCCTCAAAGCCACTGAGTGAGAGATTGGTTGTGCCTTAAGGAATTTGTATGAAAGGAAGAAATGATCTCAGAACCTGAGATTCTAAGGGTCTGGATTCAAGAGGTATCCCAGTGGGATCCCATTCTCACATAATGGCTTTGATTGATTCATGGAGGTGAACAGGTCCTGTGCACTGATTCGGGTTGTCAATCAAAAAGATGTTCTTACCTAACAAAGACAATTACTTTTAATTGAGTGGGATAATCAGTGGAGCCCTATCCTCACACTGGCATACAACCTGCCCTAGATGATCGCCCCAACCTTCAATCTTCTCCTCCATCAAAAATGTATCTACTCACTTCCTCCCAAGGCCGTCTTAGTTCTCCCTTTTTACTTTTGCTCATGATATTCTACCTGCCTAACGTGCCCTTCCCTGTCTTCTCTTATGATATAAGTCCTACATGTCCTTCAAGGCCCTGCTCAAGTCCCCGTTTCTTGCATAAGCTCATAGATCCAGAGCTGGAAAGGACCAAAGAAGGCATCCATCCAACTCTTTCATTTTAAAAATAAAGAAACTGAACCCCAAAGAGATAAATGACTTGTCTAAAGTCACACAGTAGGTAAGTGGAAGAGGCAGGATTTGAACCCAGGTCCTCTCATTTTAGATCCCCAGTTCAGTATGATTTCTCCCATCTCTGAACTTCCATTTTATCTATTGTTTCTACAAGGCATTTCACACTTCCAATTCCTCACTTCCCTTCTTAATATCTCTCATCTTTTTTGTGAAGATGTCCTTTCGATTGTAAGTACCTTGAGCAGGGACTGTTAATTTTTTATAGTCTATCTTTTTTTATTCTCAGAACATAATGCCTTAATTGTACAGGTACTCAGCATGTTGTATTACCACAGCAGAATGTAAGTTCCTTAAAGGCAGGTTCCTTGTTGTTGTTTTCCCTTATATCCCTAAAATTTAGCAGAGTTTTCAACAAACTTGGCACTTAATAAATGCTTCTTGAATTAAAATGGATACGATGATAATGGTGACAACAACAAGAAATGTGGATGGTTTTTAAAGGTCTTTATTTCTTACAAATCCTTCTTTTTCCCTGAATGTCTTATCTTTTGTAACCTAGTGGCTTTTGGTTCCTGGTATGACCATGTGAAGGGCTGGTGGGAGAAGAAGAAGGACTACCGTATCCTCTACCTCTTCTATGAAGATATGAAGGAGGTGAGAGAAAGAGAACCCTCTTCCATGTGAAAGAAACTCTACCTCCCTCCCTTCCACCCTTGAAACTCTCTTCATTCCTATGATTATTTCAAATATGACTGTCTTACAGTCACTCTATCTTCTTCTAACAAATCATCTCACACTCTTCTTGTGGAGATGAAGAGAGATGAATTAGGCAAGAATACAAACTGGTTGGATGACCAGACTCAAAGACTTATTGTGAGTAATTCAATGTTAATAGCCCAGGAGATCTCCAGTGGATTGCCCTACAGATCTCTGCTTCACCCTGTGCTATATAACATTTTTATCAATGACTCAGATAAAGGCAGAGAGGGCATACTCCTCCAATTTGCAGATGACTCAAAGTTGGGAGATAGTTAATGCACTGGATGACAGAGGCAGGACCCCAAAGGGCCTTTACAGGCTAGAATATTGACCTGGTTCTAACAAGATGAAATTCAGTAGGGATAAATGTAAGATCTTATACTTGAGTACATAAAGAAATTAACTTTCCATATACAAGATGGGAAGGCATGATTAGATAAGGTTGTATCTTTCCTGAGGTCCTCTCAAGTTGTCTTACGAGAACAACTGCCTTACCCCTTTATTTTTGCTGCTCTATGTTCATTTTGGTATGATGTTCTGTTTGCAGAAGAAATTTGGAGAGCTTGGAAATTTCTGACCTACTCTTCCATCTTCCCAGAATGCCAGAGAAAGTAATTTTTCTTTAAAAAAGAAAGTTGAAGGATTTTAGTGGACCATGAGGTCAATGTGAGTCGGAGGTTATGTGGAACACAAAAAAAGCTAATACTATCTTGGGCTTCATTCAGGGAAACATAGCTTCTAGGAATAGGGAAGTGTTGGTACAAATGTATTCTGCCCTCACCAGCCATCACGTGGAGTCTTGTCCTCCATGTTAGAAGGATTTTGGTAAACTGGAGACTATCCAGAGTAAGTAGCCAGGATGGTAAAAGGTCTTGAGCCCATAATGATCCATTGATGGAACAGGCTAGATCGAAGAAGAAAAGACTTGAGAGAAGTCAATAGCTATCTCCGAGTATTTGCAGGGCTAATGTGGAAGAGGGTTTTCATGTGTTCTGTTTGTCTGAGAAAACACAACCAGAAGCAAGAAGTGGGCAGCATAAAGAAAGGGGTTTAGGTTTGATGTCAGGAAAACCCTTTCTAAAAGTGAGAGCTGTCCCAAAGAGGATTGAGCTGCCTTGAAAGGTGGTGAGTTCTCTTCTTTGGCGATCTTCAGACAGAAGCTGCATAACCATTTGTTGGCCATGTTATAATGGGGAATTTCTTCCAAGTATGAGTTGAGCTACCTAACCATTGAAATCCCACCTTTAAAATTCTGTGATTCCATGATTCTCTAGGATCCAAAACGTGAACTACTGAAAATTCTGAAATTCCTGGAAAAGGATTTGCCAGAAGAGATTGTGAATAAAATCCTCTATCACACCTCCTTCAAAATCATGAAACAGAACCCAGCCACCAATTATACCATGATGACGGAAAAAGAAATGGACCACAGCATATCTCCCTTTATGAGAAAGGGTGAGAGTCTTACAGGAGAACTCATATTCAAAAATATGTAGGATTTGGGGGTTGGAAGAGATCTGAAAGCTCATCAGTCCAGTCCCCAAATTCCATGAGACTAAATGGCCTAATAACAGCAGGAGTGGAGAAGGGAAATAGTAACCATGAGCGGTTTTTTGTTGTTGTTCAGTCATTTTCGGTCATGCCTGACACTTCATGGCCCCATTTGGGGCTTTCTTGGCAAAGACACTGGAGTGGTTGGCCATTTCCTTCTCTAGTTCATTTTACAGATGAGGAAACTGAGGCAAACAGGGTTAAGTGAATTGCCAAGGATCACCCAGCCAGTAAGTGAGGCTGAATTTGAACTCTGGTCTTCCTGACTCCAGGCCTGGTGCTCTATCCACTATCCCACCTAGCTGGGTGGTTTAGAAAAGCAAAAAGGTGAGGGGAAAAAAGAAAAATACAACTTTAAGGTAATATTCTGTGGCAAACATCTTTACTGCCACAAACGTAACCTGATGAGAAGTTTTCAGGTGAGAACTTTCCCTTAGCATCCAAAGTGAGTATCCCAACCAATGTCTTTCCTGGGATCCTTTACTGAACCAAAACATCTTGGGCTACTGTAATGACTGGGGTTTCCTCACTCAGGAAAGTGTCAGTAACTGTAAGAAAAATAGGACCAAGAATAACTGAGGTGTGTGTGCTTCCCTGAACAGCCTCCTCATTGATAAAATGACTAGGTTGAGCTAGATGGTCACCAAGGACCTTTCTGGTTCTAAAATTCTATCTTATATAGCTAGCGTATTTGAGCAAAAGTTGTGGAGGGATAAGTGATTGAAATGATGTGGGGCTTAAAGTATCTGTTGGAGTTTAGCCTAGCTGAGCTGTGTTCTGTAATTATTGCCCAGAAATTCAATACAGTTCAGTTCAGTAAACACTTACTGAAAGCCTACTACGTTCCAGGCACCACGCTAAGCACTTGGGATACGAAAAGAGGCAAAAGACCACGGGGGCAGGGGCGGGGAGGGGTAGCTAGGAGGCACAGTGGATAGAGAATGGAGTCAGGAGGACCTGAGTTCAAATCCAACCTCAGACACTTGACAATTCCTAGCTGTGTGACCCTGGGCAAGTCACTTAACCCTGTTTGCCTCAGTTTCCTCATCTGTAAAATGAGCTGGAGAAGGAAATGGCAAACCACTCCAGTGTCTTTGCCAAGAAAACTTCAAATGGGGTCATGAAGAGTCATTCACAACTGAACAACAACAACAAATAAGAGGAAATATTGATGATAATCAAATACTACCTAGGGCAGCTGGCCTACCTCCTTTAAAAAGCATATTTCATTCCCCTTAATTCTAAAGGATTTGGGTGGAAATCTTTATGAACTCTTCATATTCAGGTTTTGGGTTCAATAAAATTAGCAAGAAAATGAAAACTGTCCAGATTGGGAATCCCAGAGTGACTCAAAAGCTATCTAAGCCATGGTTGCTGGTGTAATGTTGGAAAAGCCACAGGAATTAAACACCTGGAGAAACTAAAGAAATTTGAGAAACTTGAGAACATGTAAAGCACAGCTCTAAAGAGAAAATACAAGGTTTGGGTCATGATTTGGAAAACAGACTAAAAATGGTTTGATGAGAGAGTGATCCAATGGGTTAATACTCTATCCTTTCTTTTCTGCCAGGGATTTCAGGCGACTGGAAGAATCAGTTCACCGTAGCCCAGTACGAAAGATTCGAAAAACATTATAATCAGCAAATGGAAGGCACCACACTGAAGTTTCGAGCAGAGATCTGAAGAATGTTTCCCTTCCCTCCAAAGCTCTGAGACGCTTTGCAGGAGAAAAAACACCTACTAAACACTTAGTGAAAATATGTATAGGCTGTGAGTTTCTACAGTTGTCTAGCTTAGTAATTGGCATATATATGTATACATACATACATACATATATACATATATATATATATATATATATATAATGCAGAGAAAAGTCCTAAGACTATACATCAGAGGATACCAAGAATGATTGTCCAAGATTTCCTAGTAAACTGCCCAAGTGTTTGAATTGTCTTAAAGAATTAAATCAAGAATTGAGACAAGAATTTTAAAAGCATGCAATTACATACCTTCCTATTATACAGAGTTGTAACTAGAGTTGAACAGGTGGGGCTTTGTCCAAGAGCAATGAAATTTAGAAAGTTAAAAAAAAATTTAAATGATTTTGAAAGACTATAAAGTTTTGAAATTTGATTTGTTACGTTTGATAGCTCATGGACTCTAGTAGAATTAAAACATACCTCAATAGCAAAGATTATGAGTTCAAAGTGGAAGCCACCAGAAGGTAGAATATGTGCCCCAAATGAGTTTCTTCTTAGCCTGGCCACACCAAGTTCCGAGGCAAGGTGGACACCTAAATACGTGCTACAACCTGCCTGCAAGAAAATTCAGTGTCCTTGTGTCTCTCCTACTCAACTGACTTTGTCTTAATTCTTTCCTACATTGTTTTTATATCATATATTATAAAGTTTATTTGAGATCTCATTTTGATTTGCTTGCCCCAGACATCAAAACTGCTAGCTATATCTCTGTGATGCCATGTTTCTTCATGATTTAAATGGATAGGTAGTAGAAAGGCTCAGATTATGGGTTCTTGGTCAAAGAAAATCTCAGCATGAGGGAGGCTTTGGATTTGTGAGACCTAGAAACAACCTTCATCAAAACTAGCTCCCTAATTCCTCATTGTCTCCTTCCATAAGAACTGGGATGTATCAAGTCAATGCTGAGTTTTTAACGGAGTCTATACAAGGGAAGTAATAGATAGATTCACCCTCAGGTGGCCCAATCATCTATATTTCAATGAATCAAGATGACTGCATCATAGTCTTAGAACAAGTCAGTGTTTTGGTAATCACTCTCTCCAATGGATATATTTTATATAATGCGGGTATAAAACAATATCAAAAAAGCAACAAATAAATATAGTGACCAAATAGCAGAAAGGGCAAGATTCACCTGTTACCTTTCCAGAATACAGCTTTCAGAAATGATTTAGTGAGCATTTGTCATCACTTTTAATCAAATTAGCTAATATTTACTGAGCAACGGCATTGTGCGAGACTGTACCTAATCCTGTGCCAGGCACCACATGGGATACAAAAATGTAACTTGTGGTCTCTGCCTTCAAAAAGCTTACAGTCTTCTTGGAGAGGCAAAGCACATAAGAAGCAGTAAAAGAACAAAGGCAAAATGATGAGGTACCAACCGTGAGAGTAATGGAAGTTCTGAAAAAGGCCCACTCTGTTCCCTTCTCCAAAGATTCAGACTATTCTCGTTTGAGTCCAAGGTTTTCTGCCAATTGTTCATCCTTAACTGCTCTACTCTCATATTCCCCCTTTGAGTCATACTCCTGCACCCCCTGGAGTCCAGCTGAGACTCTACTTAATAAGGCAAATGAAAATATTCTTGATTCTAAATGGAAAGGGATCACTCGGTTTTCATTCTTTGGTTTCATGATACGATGGACCACCAATTGATCCTCATCATCTTCTCTGACCTTGATTTCCAGGCATAGTTCATGCCCTCTCACTCTACTGATAATCCTATAGAGTCTCTTTTAAATGTTCCATATTAAACCACCTCATAGGGAATCACACCTTGGCGCCTTAATTTCTTTTCTTTTTTTTTAAGGCAATTGGGGTTAAATGACTTGCCCAGGGTCACACAGCTAGTAAGTGTCAAGTGTTTGGTCTGAGGCCGGATTTGAACTCAGGTCCTCCTGACTTCAGGGCCAGTGCTCTATCCACTGTGCCACCTAGCTGCCCCTCTTATTTTCAATAAGCATGTAGACCAGGTACCCCCAAACATGGAACCATGGAAGGCACATCCAGGTTGAAGAAACAATATGGGTTGTCATCAATTCAAAAACCCCAAAAAGTCCCCATATGGTGCTTCTTTTTACCAGACCAAACCACGGAATATTAATAAAAGCAAAAGCATTGGTTACAGTACCTGAAGAAGCAGTTGCCGGGTCAAATCTCCACAAGGGTTGTTTCCCTGGACAATTGCCACAGTCCTTCCAGCTGGGTGGGCATCAGGACTAGCGGTATGTGGAGTGTTGGGCTCACCTGCCTGTAGGTGCCACTTGGCAATCACATAGTGGTGGTAATGGTAGGGAGAGCACAATAGGTGGGGATGGAGGGCCAGTGGGTTAACTCGCCTTGAGAAGAGATCGACAAAGAATGAGGATCAGTGGTCTAAAGGCTGCTTCATTTCCTGGAGATCTTGGGCTTTATTCACCCTAGGTATGAGGCAAAGCAAGTGGAGGTGGTAGCACATGCCACTCCCATCTCACTCTCAATATGCCTTGCTATTCTAGCCAGGCCAGCCAGCCTACCCTGTTGGTAGTAGTTGATCAACAATTTGGGATGATTATGGAATGGATGGCAGGCCCCTTTCCACATGAAGAGATTGAAGAGGATTTTCTTTTTCAATAATAACTACAAAGGTTGGAAATGGAAGTGGGACCAGTGGTCTAGAACAGTGGAAGGGCAGTGCTGTCGCTGAAATGCTAGGGCTTACCTTTTCATTAGTGGCATTTGGACAGCAGTTGGCAATGGGTTTGGCAGATTTAGTGGGCCCATTCTCTACAAGAGTTTCTTCCATCAATGATAGTTTCAGGAGTCAATATAACTCAAATACAATAACCATTATTAAGCACCTACTGTGTGCCAGGCACTCACCTCCCCCACACACACTAAATCCTGGAATAAGTCAATAAGCAAAAGGAGTGGTCAAGAGCTCTCAAGCGGTGAAAGTGGAGAAAGATCACAGTTGCAATCACGTATGGAAGCAAGGGAGATTGCCACCACTTCCACATCCAAGAGGCTTCAACCACTGGGCAATCAGAAGTTAAAGTGGTCATAAGCTTCCCTCCAATTTGACTGAAAAAAGGTCATAGACTTGGTAACTGAGAAATCTCTGGCAAATTTTGAGAAGGCTGTTTCAGTTGAATGATGAGGCAGAAAACCAGACAGCAGAGTTAAGAAGTGAGCAAAATGAAAGTTGAGGCACTGACTGAGATGGCTTTCTCAAGGAGTTTGGCCATGAAAGGGAGACCAGATACAGAATGAAAGGTAGTAGGGATGGATGGATCAATTGAGGGGTTTTTGAGGATGAGGGAGACATGGGCGTGTTTATAAGCAGCAGGAACACAGCCAGTAAAAAGGGAGAAATTGAAGATTAGTGAGAGAGTGGGGATGACAGAGGAGGCAACCTGCTGGAGAAGACAGGATGGAATGGGGTCATCTGTGCAGGTAGAGGGGTCTGCCTTGGCAAAGAAAAGGGACATTTCTTCATGTGAAAAAGGAGAGAAGATAGTAGAGGAAGGCAATTGCAATGAAAGAAATGAAGCCAAATGAAGAGAGAAAAAGAGTGGGGTAAATGGTCTCAATTTTTTTTTTTTATGAAATCTAAGACAAACTCCTTAACTGAGAGAGTTGGAGGAGGGGTGCCATGGGAGACTTACGCAGAGATGAAAAAGCTTGCATAACTGTTGTTGTGAGCTGGATAGGAATAAATCAAGAAGGTATAAAAGAACTGATAAACAAAGATGCCAGGCTACAGCGAGTGCCCAGTTGAGATTATCTAACACAAATTTATAATGTGCCTAATCAACAGTTTTGTGGTTTTTCTCCAGCTCCACTCAAGAGCAGGTCAATAGGAGTGAAGGTTGCAAATGGTGATAGTAATGCAAAGTTGAAGTTGGCAATGCATACTTGATGATAAGATAAGGGGGCAAGGGTGCAGACCTGAATTGATTCACTGAAGATTTGAGAAAGGGAAGGGAGCAGAGTGTAGCTAAAGTTTAGGTGATAACTGGGGAGCACACAGAAGGGTGTAGGGATGAAAGGTCACAGTGAGAATGAGAGCTGCTTTACTTGCTTCAAGTGTCTTCCATCTTCCATTCAAAAGTCACGATCGGCCCAAAGTCTGGGTCTGACCATATAACCTCACCCCACATACACAGCAAACTTCAGTGTCTCCCTTATCTACCTCCAGGACAAAGTCTTCTATTTAGCTTTTAAAGCCCGTCTCACTCTTACGCTTTCCTACTTCTCCAGTTTTATTTTTACACTTTAGTCCCTTCCAAGCACTTTATGACCCGGCTACAATAGCCTTCTTTCTGTTCCTTGCACAAGATACTCTATATCCTGATTCTGTAATTTATCCCTGGCTGTCCTCTGTGCATGGAATGTCCTTCCTTCTCTTCTCTGCTTCCTGACTTTCTAGGCTTCCTTCAGGTTTCAAATCAAACCTCCCCTGTCTTCCTCAATGCTAGTGCCATTCCTTTAAAATTGAACCTCCCGTTTATTTTAAATATAGATACATATATAATATATATAATATACAAACATACATACAGAGAGAGAAAAACCAGGGAAGACTTATGTGAACTGATGCACAGTGAAGTGAGCAGAACCAGGAGAAAAATGTTCATAGTAACAGCAACATTGTATGACGATCAACTGTGAATGACTCAGCTATTCTCAACAACCCAAGACAATTCCAAAAGACGTGATGAAAAATGCTATCTACTTCTAGAGAAAGAACTCATGGTGTATGAATGCAAATTGAAGCATTTTTTTTACTTCCTTTATTATTCTTATTTTTTTTGGTCTGTATTTTCTTTTGCAACATGACTAATATGGAAATGCTTTATATGACTACATATGTATAATCTATATTAAATCGCTTGCCTTCCCAAGGGGGGGAGTTTGGAACTCAAAATTTTTACAAATGAATGTTAAAGGGACAGGTGGTGCAGTGGATAGAGCACCAGCCCTGAAGTCAAGAGGACCTGAGTTCAAATCTGACCTCAGACCAAACATTTGACACTTACTAGCTGTGTGACCCTGGGTAAGTCACTTAACTTCAATTGCCTAAAAATTTTTTTTAAATGAATGTTCAAAATTTTTGTTTACATGTAATTGAGAAAAAATAAAATGAAAAATGAAAGAATTAAAAATAAATAAATAAGTATTTTTATACATATAGATTCATCTTTCTTTGATCCCTTTGGACTATAGGCCTAGTAGCAGTATAACTGCCTCAAACAGTAGGCACAGCTTCATACTTTGGAGACATAATTGTAACAATGAGCTAATCTTACAAACTAATAATTGCCTAAATGTGTGAATAGGAAGTGGGGGGGTGCATTTTTCATCATAAGTGTTTTAGAATTGTCTTGGAACGTTGTATTGCTGAGAATAGCTGAATCATTCACACTGATCATCTTACAATACTGCTGTTATCTCCTGGTTCTGCTCACTTCACTTTGTATCAGTTCATATAAAGAGAGAGAATTTGGAACTCAAAAAAATTTTTTTAATGAATGTTAAAATTTTCATTTACATGTAACTAAGAAAAAATAAAATGAAAAATGAAAGAATTCAAAAAATAAGTATTTTTATACTCATTCTTCTTTCTTTGATTTCTTTGGAATATAGGCCTAGTAGCAGTATAACTGCCTTAAACAGTAGGTACAGCTTCATGCTTTGGACATATAATTGTAACAATGAGCTAATCTTACAAATTAATCATTACCTAAATGTGAATGGGGAAGAGGGCATATATGGAACACATTCCAAGTAATAGGTGTTTGGACAGGGGTCCTAAAATGCTATGATTTTTACTCAAAGGACTGGCTTTAATACAGCTGTCCAGTGAGGAAGGGGGCCACCTCCAGTCATCCTGATCCATATCTGGCCCCTGGACCCAGTTGGCTCCACAGGAGAAAGTGAGACTGGTAACTCTGCACAGTCCTGCCTTGCTTAAATCCAATTCACTTGCAAGTCATGACGTCACCTTCCTGATGTCATGGAACTCTTCAAGAACGGAAGACAAACAACAACGACAACCAGTGAGGAAGGCATAGCTGGGCCAGGCGTCCTCCAGCCCCGTCAGATAGTGCTATAGAAATATCACAAAGTTCAGGTAGAGTGAACCTGCCCTGCTACATTCTTCACTGGATTTTTTTTTTTTTTTTTTGCTCCAACAAGCAGCAAAAAGATCTTGTAAAGAAATCACTTGCCCAATCTTGCTTGTTGGAATTGTAATGTTTTATTTCTTTCTTGGCTCCCTGACCAAGGCTCTGCACTCACTACTGTAAATGAGTTCTCAGCCAACTAGCCTTTTCTGTTTTGTGTCCAGGAAACTCTTGCTCAACTCTAGATTTCAACTCCCTATGCAGCAGCCAGTGCAGAATTTGCCCACTTCTGTTTTCTCTTTCCAGTAAGTCTTTGAGGGGGAATGCGGGATATTTTTCTTCCTGTTTTCTTCCTGTTCTGGTATTTCCTGTTCTGCTTGTAGGCCAAGTCTACCCTTCAATCATTACCACGGGCTTTTCCCCAAATGGTTCAAGGGTTTCCAAGGGAATGATAGATTCGTGCCCAGGAATACTCTTATCTCTTTGGGGTGGGGTGGAAATTGACCGCAGAGTTTGATTTGTCAAGAACAGAAGTGTGATAGGCTGCAACTGGAAGAAAAGGGAAGGAAGGCTTGTCTGTTGGGAAAAGATTGAATATTTGATCCAGAGGGTAAGTCCTTTTATTTTCACTCAGGACTTTCTTCACTATATGCTTGAGTTTTTTAAACACCTATGCTGTCAGATGTAGGATTCTGTAGAACACGGAGCACCTGGCATTAGAGACACTGGATTAAATCTGGGCTCTACTACTATTTGTGTGATCTTAGACAAATGTGAGAGGATTGGACTGAATCAAAGATTCCCAATCTTTGGGCCCCAGAATTTTTGCAATAAGTACATATCTAGGCAAGTACTTCCTCACTTAATGGATATCTACTGCACATCTACTATTATGTGGAAGGGTTTAATTCGAAAAAGGGGTCCCTCATACTTGAAAAGATTGGGATGATTTCTAAAGTCCATTCTAGCTATAATTTGAATTAATTAATTGGATTAGACTCATCAAATAACTTTGACACACGGTGCCTGAATTTTTCTAGCTATAAGGGACCTTTGGGATTATTCAATTTATCGTATAAATGAAGGAAACAAAACTCAGGAAGAAAATGATTTGTCACGTATGTAAGTGAAGCACTTTGGGCATAAATGATTAGTGGCAGTCAGGACTAGAACTCGGGTGTCTGGGGTGCTAGAATTTTTCTGTTCCACTACACTGTGTAATATAGGATATTATATTAAAATATGTAAATATATGATATTCACATTTCAATCCAAATCCCATCTTGTGAAAAAGAACCTTAAAATATATGATACAGGTATTATGGATATTGTCTTCACTCTGCATCTCTTCACACTAATCTCACGTTTCTCTAAATTTTTTACATCATCCTTCTTTGCAGTATGATCAGCCACTTACTAATCCTTGGGCAGACATTTTATTTTTAGTTTTTTTTTTAGTTATTACAAATAATGCCGCTGTGGACATCATTGAATGCATGGGGTTTTTTTTGCTGCCATTAATCTCGTCGGGGCAGAATCCAACAAATGGAATATCTGAATCAGAGGGTATGAATGATTTGTAACTTTTCTCACATAATTCCAAATAACTTGCTAAATGGTTTGGACCAATTTATAGCTTTACCAGCATTGAAATATCTGTGTGCTCCAGGATTTATAGCTTTACCAGCATTGAAATATCTGTGTGCTCCAGGACTCTTTTTACTACCCCTACAACAATCCCTTTCCTTCTTTCTCCTTTGAAACTAATTAAAAACACCACCAACAACACCCTTCCAACACACCCACCAACGTGCCTCTTTTCCCCTACCATTTTTTTTCACAGTACTCAGCTCAGTCCTTGGGCTCTAAAATTCCTGAAGCCAATCCTATAGATTTGTGTCAAGACAAAGTGTAACTGAAAGGAGTCGGGAAAAAAAGGAGGATCATGGATTGAGATAAACAGAAACAGGGCTAGAACTGAGGTATACGTATCATTCTTCTAGACTTGTTGGTTCACAAGCTTGCAGTTCCCCTTGGCCTTTTCTTCTCCTTCTCTAAGCATATCCAGTCAGTTGCTGCCTTACCAATTCTGTTTCTTCAGCTTCTCCTTCCATTCATGTAGTCTTTGGGCCCTCATTACCTCTTACCAGCACCATTTCAGTAGCATTTTAATTGACCTCTGTAGCTTGTCTCTTCTCTCTCCAGTTTGTCGTCTGTGAGCTGCCAAGTTGTTATTCCTAAAATGGGAATATGATCGTGTTACCTCTATTAAGATATCTTCAGTGGCTCAAGTATTTGTCCTTATTAAAATGTCCCTCTTTCACCTTTGCTACACATCTTTCAAAATATAAGCTAAGCAGAGGACTCATAGCCTGAGCCCTGGTTTTTCTAGGAGTTAAACATTGATGTTGCATTGAAAATTAAATGAAGAAGCTCCTCACTACATTCCCAAATGTTAGATGCTGTTATTTTCTTTTCTCCATTTTAGGTTCTTAGGGAAACTCTGATGTAAAAAATGTGACCTGAGGGCCTCAGCCTCCAGACAAATGGAAGCGTTCCAAGAGCAGGGTTTTGAAGTGCTGTGAATGGAATTCATAATGTAACATTTTCTTCAGAACAACTTTGCTCCCTGAATCTTGAAAACAGGAAAGGATGTCTCTATTGTGATCAGAATATAAACAATTTTAACTGATCCACATCAAAAAGCACTTGGCTGTAGGAGTTTCAATAAAAGTTCCCAAGCTCTTTGGGGGTCCCATATTGGAGTAATTTAATCAGGAGTTCCTGATTTTGTTCCCCTGTTTCCCAGCTGTAGCTTGTCCTTAGAATCCACTCTGGTCCTTAGGTGCCCCTACTACCCTCTGAAAAGCAGAACAGAGCGGAGCTTATGTTGATCTCAGATCCTTGGAATGACCCATGGACTGATGTGCCCACTGGGTTTTCCTTTTTTCTTTCCTTCCCGGGAAAGGCAGGGTAGCAGAGTTGAGAGACAGGGCCATCATTGGAATTAGAAAAACCTGAACTAGAATCCTACCTCTGACATACTAGTTATATGAGCATAGACAAGTCACTTAACATCTCAGGGTGCTAGGCTAGCTGGTGGTACCACGGATAGAGCACTTGACCTAGAGTCAGGAAGTTGATTTGTTTTATTGTGTTTCAGTCATTTCTGCCTCTTTATGACCCCATTTAGGGTTTTCTTGGCAAAGATACTGGAGTGACTTGTCATTTCCTTCTCCAGCTCATTTTACAGATGAGGAAACTGAGGTAAACAGGGTCAGTGACTTGCCCGTGGTCAGGAAGACCCGAGTTCAAATCCAGCTTCAGGCACTTCTTAACTGAGTGGTCCTGGGCAAGTCATTTAACCTCAGTCTCCCTCAGTTTCTACAACTGTAAAATGAGGGCAATAACAACACCCACTTCACAGGGTTGTTGTGAGAATCAAAAAAGGTAATATTAGTCAAGGTGCTTACCACAGTGCCTGTCACATAGTAAGCTTATTCTCTTCTGTTCTTCTGCCTAAGATTGTCATAGAGAAGTTGCTGATCACACTGAGAGTTCCTTACACTGATGAAATCACTCTACTGGACCTCTCCTCCTCAAAAACAATTTCCTGCAGTTGAAAAGGCTGATGTACCAATTAATTATTAGGTTTAAATACATTCAAAGTGCTGCAACAGTGATGTATGGTGTCTGGATTTTATTTTTTCTTTCTAAAACAAGCCAAGATTCTTTAGGAGGCTTTTCCTGAGTCCACTAGTTAGTTACTGTAGCTCTCTTTCTCTCAAAATTTCTTTGTATTACTTTTTAAAATAAATTTTATTGATATCTTTTGTTTTTACATCACCTAAATTTCTTCTGTAATCCTCCTTCTTCTCCTCCCAGAGAATTTTCTCATATAACAAAGAATATTTTTTTTAAAAAAAAAGGAGAAGAATTTTAAAAAATCAGCAAAACCAATTAAATTCTTTGAAAAAAGCTCATAATACATGCAAAGTTAAACATCTGTGGACCCCCACTCTGTGAAGCAATGGAAGTATCTTCTCTTATCTATTCTTCGGTGCCGAGTTTGATCTGTGTAATTTTGTAACATTTATTTTCAATTGTTTTGTGGTTGTTATTCTTTTCATTTACATTGTTATAGTCATTGTGTATACTTTTTCCTTGATGCTGCCTTCTTCAGTTTGCATCAGTCCATGTAAGTTTTTTTATACTTTTTTATATTAATCTTATTCTTCATTTCTTACAGCAGAAGAATATTCTGTTGCCTTAATGTACCATAAATTCTTTTTATATACTTTGGGGTTGAGTTTTGTTTTTTTTTTTTTGCTAATCTGTATATGTGTCATTCCCCACAACCCCATCCCCACCCCCACCCCCCAGAGAATGTAAACTCCTTGGAAACAGGCCACAGTGGTACGCTGGAGCCATCAAAACCAATCATAAAAGCTGATTGTTAAATTCCAAAAATCTTCAAAGGCTACAAATCAAGGCTTGATTTAATTTTGCTGATTGTCTAGACATACGAAGGTGATTGAGAAAATGTTAATAATGCAGATTAAATTTAAAAGTGTGTTTTGTGTATATTCCCAACCCTACCCCAAGCTGGTTGTTAAAAAATCTACCAGCACACCTCTGCAGGTAGAATCTATTTTCAGAGATTTTTGGTCTTTGTATGCCCCGTGGCTAGCACTGTGCCTGGTATCTGGGAGATGTTTAATTAATTGAATTGAACTGCTGTTGAATCCCATCCCCGATTCTTACAAGCTGTGTCACTTTGAGCAAGTCATTTCACTCATCTGAGAATCAATTTCACCATCTATAAAATAGGATAAAAACAGGATGACCCAGGCCCTAGCTTTGTTGTGAGAAAAGAACAGAGAAAAGGGTAGTTTGGCTGGATCACAGAGTGTGGAGGGAGTGTAATGTCAAATGAAACTAAAAAGATAAATTGGGGGCAATTTTTAAAGGATTTTAAAGCTAAACAGAAAAGTTTGTACGTAATACTAAAGGGCAATAGGGAAATACTGAATTTTATCAAGAAATGGAGTGACGTGGCTAGATCTTCACGTAAGCTCAAATCACTTTGATAGCTGCGTTGAGGGTGGATTGGAGTAGGCACAAACTTGAGTCAGGAAGGATAATTAGAAGGCCATAAAGGTAATGAGAACATAAACTGAGATAGTGGCTTGAAATGGAGAGAAGGGGTCAGAAGTAAGAAATGTTATAAAGAAATAAAAACCAAGATTTGTCAACTGATTGAATATATTGTTTACAAGAGACACACTTGAAACAGAAAGACACACCCAGATTAAAATAAAGGGCTAGAGCAGAATACATCATGCCTCACCTGAATTTTTAAAAGGCTGGAGTAGTAATCATGACCTCAGACAAAGCAAAAGCAAAAACAAAAACAGACCTAATTAAAAGAGATAATCAGGGAAACCACATTTTGCTAAAAGGTACCATAGACAATGAAGTGATATCAAAAAAAATTTTACAGCAAATTTCTCTGATAAAGGCCTCATTTTTCAAATATACAGGGAACTGAGTCAAATTTATAAAAATAAGAGCCATTCTCCAACTGATAAATGGTCAAAGGATATGAACAGGCAATTTTCAGAAGAAGAAATCAAAGTTCTATGTAGTCAATTGACAAAATTAATCTCTATTGATTAAAAATGCGAATTAAAACAACCTTAAGGTGCAGCTAGGTGTCAAAGTGGATAGAGCACCGGCCCAGGAGTCAGGAGGACCTGAGTTCAAATTCGGTCTCAGACCAGACACTTGACAATTACTAGCTGTCTGACCCAGAGCAAGTCACTTAACCCCAGTTGTCTCACCAAAAAACAACTCTAAGGTACCACCTCACACCCATCAGCAACTATTGTTATTGTTCTTCCTTTGATTTTTTCATTTAAAACTGATTATTCATGTCCTTTGATCATTTATCTACCGATGAATGGGCATTGTCTCAGACAAACTGAGACCTGGGAAAGATCAGCAATTACAAATGCCAGAGGAGATGAGAGAAAATAGGTACACTGTTGGTGCAATAGTGAACTGGTCCAACCATTCTGGAGAATAATTTAGAACTTCATCTGAAAGATTATAAAATTGAGCATACCCTTTGACCCAGCAATATCACTACTAGGTCTGTATGCCAAAAAGATCAAAGGCCTATATGTACACAAATACTTGTGAGGGCAAAGAACTGGAAATTGAGGGAATGTTCATCAATTATGGAATAGCACAGATCATAAGGGGCAGACTTGGGATTCAAACCAAAGTCTCTGACTCCACATTCATTCTATTACTGTTTTGTTGCCTCTAAAGATGGGATGCTTGTTTTATAAGTGTGCCTTCCAGAACACAAGCACATTGCTAGGCTAGATTTAGGATATCTTTGGCACATAGTGGGTTGTAGAATAGAGTTACAATATCTGGCACTTATTTATTCAGGGGAAGGGGATTTTAATGGGAAAGCATGCCAATCAAAGGCAATAATTGAACAAGAGAAAACATCAGTTGGGTAAAAAATGCTTTCAGAGAATCTGAATTTGAAAGCTATCCAATAAAGCAGTCTTTCTTCCGTGAAATCCTACTCTGAGGCTTCATTGTAGGAGAGGGTTGTGAGTTCTCAAAGGGTTCCATCAGAGATAAGCTCTTGCAAGTCCTGCCAAACTGGAAATGCTTCAAGTATCATATTGGCAACACAATATAGCTTTCCTTTCTTTTCCAAATGTTTTATTGATATTCTTTTCTTTTTTTATATCACTGTTGCTTCCCAACAACAACAATACCCTTAACCTTGAACCCTCAATGAATTGAATAAGTACAATGTTGTAAAGCAAACACATCGGTCATATCTGAAAAAAATGGGAGAGACTTGGGGATGATTGAAGGTAGTAGAGAAGGAATTAATAAATATGAAAAGGTTAAAGATTACAGAGGGAAATGATTGAGTGGGCAATTGGATGGAGAAAATGGGAGAGCATGCGAAGTACCTTGGCAAAGAGAAGTACCATTTCATTGTCAGAAACTGGGATAAAGCAGAACAGAATGGAGGATGATGTGAAGGGGTTTTGAGATGAAGAGAAGGGGGAAAGGACTTCTCAGCAAATGATGACAATTTTCTCAGTTAAGTTAGATCCTCAACAAAGAGAATGTGGTGAAGGGAAAATATGGAAGGCTGGAGGAGAGAAGAGATTTGGAGTAGCTTCTGTGGTTAGTGAGATAAGAATCAATTAGGGAGGGATAAAAGGACTGTCTTATAGCTGAGAGCCTATTTGTAATTGGGGCCCATAAATCTATAATGTAATCCAGTCAGTCTTGTTAAGTGACCTTCTCGGACTCCATTCAGCATCAAATGAGTAAAGTGGAGGAAGTCATTGGTGAAAATAATGCAGGGCTAGGGTCTGGCAAGAAATGGGCAGTATTTAGACAAAGGGGCTGAGGAATCCAAGAGTACAATTAGATGTAGAGTTGAATTGGCTGTCATTGAGGTTGAGAGTAGGAAAAGAGAAAAGTGAAGTCAGAACATGGTAATGGTCTAAGAAAGTAAAGGGAAGGAGAGAAAGGAAATTGAGGTCAAGACAATGGAGAAGAATAAATTTAGGAGGGGTGAGGTAGAAGGAGAGTTAGGGTAGTAAGAGAGGACTATTAGAGGTTTTTAATGAGGAAAGTAGAACACTGTGATGGTGAAATCCCAAGAGTGACCATATCTGTGTGTGGTAGAAAATGAGCATAGGAACAGGTCACGGCATTTAAAATGATTAAGGAATTAGCAGTTTGGGGAGTGTGAGAAAGCATCAATGTGTATGTTGAAATCTCCTAGTAGTGATGGGGTTGGGATCTAGACCCCAGAAAGGAAAAACCCTGGACTTTCCAGTTTGTCCAGATCTCTGGCATTCTCCTGGGGCTATAATCCCATCGACTGGCCTTCATTGTGGCTACACCCAATCTTCCCATTCTGTTAATCTAGCCTGGCCTTCTTTTGTTTTACTTCCCTATGTATGGTGCATCACCCCTCCCCGCCCCCCCATTTCCCACCCTTAATCCTAGCTAGACTTCATTCTCCCTAGGCCATGAGGTCCAGGTCGCAGGAGTTCTGTTCACCCCAGTTTACTGGCCACTCCTAGGTCCCTCCCACAGTCTTTCTATATATAAGGTCCACCTTGTCTCCATTAAGATGCTGGTATTCTTATAATCTATCCATGGCTCAGATTCTTAAAATCTAGCCAATAGCTTACTAATGTTCAGACTCCTTAAGAGTCTACCCAATATGATGGATGTTCTAATAAACCTTTTCTTTGGCTGAAAGAAGGCTTGGGTCAAATTCTTTTGGGCAGGACTCACGTGTTGTGATGTTGGGGTCCCCTTACCCCTAAACCTCTAAACTGCATCAGTAGGAGGGCAGAAGATGAGGAGGAAAGGAAAACAGCATGCCAGACACTGAATATGTTTGCCCCATGGCAAATGGTATAAGGCCACATTCACAACAGCCAACAGGATTTAAATGATATACAAATTTTTCATAGAGTGAACTTCAAAGTAGGTGAAATTACTGAGCAATGAAAGCAAAAGGAGAAACTACACGTGACAGCGGAGAGCAAGAAGTCTTCCAACTCTACCTACAGGGCCAATGTGCCAGGTGATGTGAATAAAAGTAATGGCAAGGATGACCAAGGATGCAGTGATTTCTGGGAGAAGTCATGTTTCGGTGATAGCAAATCAATAGAAGGAGTAGGGCAGAAAGAGTTCCAGAATGAAGGGAAATTTGTTCACCAGGGCACAGGAATTCCAGAGGGCAGCATGGAAGGAGTGGACAAAGTTGGAGTGAGTAGAGAGTAGAGTTGATAAAAATGGGGATGAGAGCACAGGAAGGTAGGTTAGGGAAGAGTTTGTTCTTTGGCAGCAGGTGATTAAGTGGGACAAGGAGGGTAACAGGTGCGAGGAATTTGCTAGCTATAAGGGCAGTGAGTAGAAGATGAATTATGGTGGCCAGTCTCAAATAACACCTGTACCACCTACCACAAAGGGCTGTTGTGAAGAAAGTGTTCTGTAAACCCAAAGTGCCGTAGAGATGTGAGATAATATTAGCAAGAATCACACTAAAAAATGAAAATAAAAAATAAAAAAAAGAATTGCCCTATAAAACCTTCAAAGCAAATATGAGAGATAACTTAAGAACCTCTATTAACATCTGAAACTCTTAAGACAGTTCTCCAAACAAAGCCACTAATTATGCAGAAATCAACGATTTATTCCATTAACAAATAAATGACTTAAAAGTCAGGAGAAAGTGCATAGGAATGGAAGTCATGAGGCCTGAATTCTAATACCAGTTTTCCCCTGAAATGTTGGTGATCAGACTTTCAGTCAGCCTCTCCTCACTCCAGAGGGCAGCTAGGCACCATAACAGATAGAACACTGGACTTCGAGTCAGGAAGATCTGAGTTCAAATCCTGACTCAGGTCCTTACTAAGCTATATCACACTGAGCTAGTCACTTAACTTCTCTCAAGCTGTTTCCTCATCAATAAAATGGAGATAATAACAGCAGGTGCCTCCCAGGGTTATTGTAGAACTCAAATGCAAAAAATGCAAAATGTTTATGTATTATATAAAATATTGTAATACATTATAAATATATTTATATGTCACATCTATATATACACATATATTTCTATATGCATATGTTATTGTTTAGTCATTTCAGTCATGTCTGACTCTTTGTGACCCCATTTGGGGTTTTCTTAGCAAGGGTACTAAAGTGGTTGGCCAGTTCTTTCTCCAGCTCATTTTACAGATGAGGAAACTGAGACAAACTGAGGGTTAAGTGACTTGCCCAGGGTCACGCAGCTAGTAAGTTCCTGAGGCCAGATAGGACCTCAGGAAGATGAGTTTTCCTGACTCCAGGCCCAGCATTCTATCCACTGCAGTACCACCTAGCTGCCCCATGCATATATATATATATATGTATATGTATATGTATATGTATATGTATATGTATATAATATGTGTGTACGTTCGCTATTATTATCTGGAACTTGGCTCTCTAGTCTATTAAATGAGGAGGTTATGTTCAGTGATCTCTAAGGTCCCTTCCAGCTCCAATATCCAAAGAAAGACCCACTATTGAATCTTGATCATCCACAACCGAAAAACTGCAAAACCCACCCCAAATTTCATTAATGGTATGACTGGTCTAGAATGAAATAAGACACAGGCTCACACATGAGCATGTCTGGCTTCTTTTCACTCTGTATTCCAGCCCAAACTACAATCTCCAAAGGATTAAAGCAAATCCACATCCTGATAAACAGGAAATGGACTCAGGGTGCAAAATGAGACGTGGATTTTTTTGGATATGACCTTTTGGGAATTTGGAGTAGGCACAGATTGGAATCAGGGAGACCAATTCAGAGGCCGTTGGAAGAATTCGGGTAATGGGCAATGAGGGCTTGGTTCAAACTAAGATAGTAGCTGTGAATTGGGAGAAGGGGTCAGATGCAAGAGATGTCTTAGGGATAGAAATGCCAGGATATGGCAACTGGTTGGTTACATGGGGTGTGGAAGAGTGAGGAAACAAGAATGCTGAGCTTACAAACCTTGCAGACTGACAGGATGGCCATGCCTTTGATAGAAATAAGAAATTTTGGAAGAAGGGAGGGTTTGGGGGGAAAGTTAATGAGTTCTGTTTTAGATCTATTGAATTCATGGCAACTCTGGGGCATCCAAAACATAGGGTGCACATCGATAGGCTATTTGGTGGCCTGGCCTACGTGATCCTCCCCACCTCTCTTTAGCCTGGCCCCAGTCTCCATTAACAGTATCCTCACTTGGAATAATTAATACTCATTTGCACACTAAACGCAATGGAAATCTTGTCCACGAAGTCTCCAGAGACTTAAACTTTCAGTACTGACCTCACAATCCTACGTTTCCTTTTGAATATGGGAAAAGCTTCCCAATTCCATCTGTTTCTATAACAAAAATATCTCTTCTTTGGAGAAGAAATGCATAGCAAAATAATGAAGGGAAGGTGGCAGGGGAGGTGGATGTTGTAATGTGCACGTGGAAGAATGGGGACTTTCTGCATTCTTAATGTCTGGGGAACCTTTCTCTAGATCCCAGACGCCATCTTCACCTTGAGGCAGCCTCTTTATTCTCTCTGGCCTAAGACTTTCCGTCCTCCCTTCCTGAATCTGAAGCTTTGATAGCCAAGCCTGACTGGCAGGTGATAGAGATCTGAGCATTACAGTGTTATCCACTATCTGGCATGGTTATTCTAGCCAAGGGAGAATGTTTTTCCTAACTAAGTAGGAGTTTGACTTCAACACTAGCTTTTTCTGCAGGCTCAAGTAGTGAGGTTTCCCACTTCCTCTAATCTCTGCTTTATTTCTTCTCTCATTATCTCAGAGTTCTTAAAGGATTTCTCCTAAACTTGTGTGATTACTCCTGGGTAAGGAGTAGATATGGTTATGTTGGAGATATGCCCCAGTACAGGGGAGGAGAGAATCCTGCTTATATTTCCTCCTTCTAGAGGCAGCTCGGTGGCACAGTGGATAGAGCTGTGGCCTTGGAGTCAGGAGGACCTGAGTTTAAATCTGGCCTCAGACACTTGACACTTACTAACTGTATGACCCTGGGCAGGTAAATCACTTAACCCCAATTGCTTCACAAAAAAAAAAAAAAAAAAAAAGATTTCCACCTTCTGATTATTCGATCACAATTTCTTTGGGGTCATGCCATGGCTTCTCACTTTGAAGTCTGCAGGAAAAAATTCACATTGCTTTTGTTACACATGGCCACTTCTGACCTGAATTCAACCTAGCTTTGCATCCTTTCCTCTTCTCTTCAGCAAGACCCGCAAAGATGATGGCATTTTTCTTTTTCAATGTTCCGTGAATTTCTGCTTTTGTTCATAATGCTTTGCTGACCACAATTTCTGGTTTGATTCCTCAGTTTTACAACCGACACGCCCAACATCTAACACTAGAATGACTTCTCCAGATTTCATCAGACGTGATTGGGCGACTGTCCATGGCTACCCCATGGTTTATGCCTTTACAACAAACTGGGAAAGGGTTGAGCAGTTCCAGTGCAGGCCAGAGGATGTTTGGATAATCACTTATCCCAAGTCTGGTGAGTCTCATGTCTTTAAAAGGGATGTCTGCCTCAAATGCATATGTCCTTAACCCCACCACCTTTTCCCTTCAATCTTCACAAAGCACTTGATTTTGTGACGCTCTGATGCAATTATGAAATAATAATAATAATAATTTTGTTGTTGTTCAGTCCTGTCAGACTCTTCATGACCCCATTTGGGGTTTCCTTGGCAAAGCTACTGAAGTGGCTTGTCATTTTCTTCTCCAGCTCATTTCACAGATGAGGAACTGAAGCAAGTAATAGGTTAGGTGACTTGCCCAGGGCCACACAGCTAATAAGGCCAGATTTGAATTCAGGAAGATGACTTCAGGCCTAGTACTCTATACACTGCCCCACCTAGTTGTCCTCAACAACAACATTTCATCCTCACACCAACCCTGTGAGATATGGCAAACAACAGGCAAAACATTAGATGGTGACAAACATTAGATCATGAGCTTCTTGAGGGCAGAGGCTGTCTTTTGCCTCTCTTTGTATCCTCTGTGCTTAGCACAGTGCCAGGCACATAATAGGTAGTTAATAAAAAAAGTTTAAGTTTACTGGCTTACTGACTGCTATTAACAATGACTGCTATAAAACAAAAATAACTATAACAATAACTAACATTTTCATAGAGCTTTAAGGTTTGCAAAGTGCTTTACCTATATTAACTCATTTGATCCTCACAACAACTCTGGGAAGCAAGTGCTATTATTAAGCACATTTTACAGATGAAGAAACTGAGGCAGAAAGCAGTTAAGTGCCTTTCCCAGGGTTACATGGTTAATAAGTGTCTGAAGCAGAATTCAAAGTGAGTTCCGCCTGACTCCAAATCCAGTCCAACCTCTACTGTCACCTGAGTACCTCATTACCACTTGTACCCTTGAACGCAAGTCAAATGTATAACTGTACTGTTCTTTGCCTTTATTTCAGGTACCACATGGGTGAGTGAAATCATGGACTTAATTAAAAACGATGGGTCTGTTGAAAAACAGGAACAAATCCCAATTGTCCAACGAGTCCCGATGATGGAATCAGCAGCTCCTGGGACGCTTCCCTCAGGTATATGTCAAATTTTTCCTCTTTAAGGAAAGGAATGGGGGAGCAGGGTACGGGGGCAGGAGAATGTAATTGAGCAAACACCCTACTGAGCTCTGGTAGACCTGGGTTTGAGTCCTAGACTTGCCCCTTCCTAGCTCTTGACCAAACAAATCATTTTATGTTTCTCAGAATCATTTTCTTCCTCTATAAATTGGGTGGTTAGACTAGATGCCTTCTAAGGTCTCTCCTAGCTTCAAATCTCACCCTGTCCCGATAGAAACATTATTACTCAGTTATTCCAGGAAAACTCACTAATGAATCTATATCTTTCTAGGCAGGTAAAGTAGTATGATGGAAAGATCACCGGGCCTGGAGTCAGGAAGATATGAATTCAAATCCAGCCTCAGATACTTACTAGCTGTGTGGCTGTGGGCAAATCACTTAACCTCAGTTTCCTCATATGTAAAACAGGAATAATAATAGTATCTATTTCCCAGGGTTATTGTGTGGATCAAATGAGGTAGCACAATGCCTTAGACACTATATAAATGCTAGCTAGCTATTATCATTATTTATTATGATTATCTTTCTCAAGGACAAAGTTACTGAAAGGTTCGGTCTTTTGTTCTAAAAAATAGAAACAGGCCCACTAACCTGTCATTGCTGCCACCCATTGACTTGGAAAACCAGATATTAACATTACCTATGTTTTGTATAATGGGTATCATATTGCTTGCCTTCTCAATGGGTGGAGGAAGGGTTGGGGGAAGGAGAGAATTTGGAATTCAGAACCCCCCAAAAAAAAACATTGTTTGTGTTCTATTGTAATTTTATTTATTTTGTCAAATATGTCCCAATTACATTTTAATCTAGTTCAGGTCACACTTGGGAGTGTTGAGGGCAACAACTCAACCCACCGGCCATGGGTTTGCCATTTAAGTTCTAGATGATCTTTGGTTGCTGACAGTAATTGTAGTAGTCATGGTGGTGGTGGTGGTGGTGGTGGCAGCAATAGTAGTAGTTGTAGTAACGGTAGTAGTCATAGTAGTGGTAAGTGGTAGTAGTTGTAGTAGTAGTTGTGATGGTAGTAGTAAATAGCAGTAGTTGTAGTAATAATAGAAATAGTAGTAATAGCAGTAGGAGTAGTAGTAATAGTAGTTGTAGCAGTAGTAAATAGTAGTAGTAGTGGTGGTGGTGGTGGTGGTGGTGGTGATAGTAATAGTAGTAGTTGTAGTAATAGTTGTAGAAGAAGTAGTAGTGTTATTTATAGTAGTAGTAGTAATAGTAGTAGTAGTGATAGTAGTAGTTGCTGTTGTAGTTGTAGTAGTAGTAGTAGTAGTAATAGTAGTAGTAGTAGTGGTAGTAATAGTAGTAGTAGTAGTAGTAGTAGTAGTAGTAGTAGTAGTAGTAGCAGACAAGTCTTCCTGACTCCAGGCTCAGCACTCTCTCATTGTGCCACTTAGCTACCACATTTCTATTGACATATCCAAATTTACATTTGCAAAATACTTTATATTTTTCAAAACACTTTCACATACATTATCCTCTCTGAATCTCGCACTAACTTAGGGCAATTGTCAAAGTATTGTTATCCTCATTTAATCAATGAGGAAACTGAGGGTCCAAGTGGTTAAATGTGTTGCCCAAGGCCAGAAAACCAGTAGTAAAAGAAAGACAATTTTTGAACCTCCCATCTATTACAGTCTGTGATTACAGGGAAATTACTGATTGTATCACCATCACTACCATCGCTGTCTTTGCCTCTCTTGCCCCAGGGCTCTGAAGTCAATTAGACTTGAGTTCAAATGTGACGTCAGACATATATTAGCTGTGTGATCCAAGGCAAAGTCATTTTAACCTCTGTCTGCCTCAATTTCTTCATCTATAAAATGGGAATAAGAATAGTACCTACCTCCCAGGGTTGCTGTGAGGACCAAATGAGATAATATGTCTAAGCATTTTACAAGTCACTATTTCTTCTTCTTCATCATCTTCGTCATCATCATCATTATTTTTTTGTTTACCTTGCACTTCTCCCTTAGCCCACAGATTTCAGGCTTTTTCCTCCCCCTGCTTGGTGTATATGGAACTATCTTTCTCTGTTGTACTCACCTTCATTATTCTTCTCATTGACTGCTACTTCTCTCACTATCATTCTTTCCCTCTGTTGAGCTTTTGAAATAATAATAATAATAATAAATTAATGATGATGATGGAATAGTGGCTTGCAAAGCTCTTTACAAATGTTATCTTATTAATAATAGCATTTACTCTGTGCCAGCTTCACCGTTATTATTTCCTTTGGTTCTCACAAGAAGCATAGGAGGTAGGTCCTATGATTATCTCTGTTTTATAGAGGAAGAGACTGAGGCAGACAGAGGTTAAGTGAATATCCTCCAATAAACACACATTTGCCCTAATACTAATTAGCCATGCCATAATGTGCTGCCTTAGGCAACCACACAGGCAGGTGACTATGTTTGTAATTATTGTCCTCAAAGCACACTCAGGAAACAAAGGTAGTGTGACTTAGTAGACAGAGGATCTACCTCAAAGTCAAGAACTAGGTTCAAATCCTGCCTTTGTGACTTTGCACAAGTCATTAAACTTCTCCATATTCTAGAGTCATGGCAACTTACTAAGACTATATAAATTGGAGAGAAGGCACATACTACATGAGTAGAGGGAGTTTTCTCACCAGGAAGTTCTCTGTACCAGTGGCTCTCCAACATTTTGGTCTCAGGACCCCTTTATACTCTTAAAAATTATCGAGGCCCCAAAAAAGCTTTTGTTTATGTGGGTTATATAATCTCTACCAATATTTACTGTATTTGAAGTTAAAACTGATAAAATTTTAAAATATTTATTAATTTGTTTTAAAATAACAATAATGAACCCATCACATATTAATGTAAATAATTTATTTTATGGAAAAAATAACAAAAAATATCAATGAGAAGAGTGATTTCGCTTCACATATTTTTTCAAAACTTTAATATTTGGCTTAACAGAAGAAGCTGGACACTCCTATCGGCTTTTGCATTCAATCTGTTGCAATCTTATTTTGGCTGAAGAAAATCCAGCCTTAAACAAATGTATTGTTGGAAATAGCAGGAGTATTTTCATAGGCAGATAGCATCTTGTTATTGATACAAAGATAGTTTTGCCCTCCTAAAAGGGTCTCCAGGAACTCCCAAGGGCCCAAGGTCCACAGTTTGAGAAGCAACGCCCTATGAAATCACAGGTTCACGGTCAGTGTGGTAGCAAACACCTATGGTCCTTTCCCCAGGAGAGACTGAGGCCATCGGAGAGGCTCAAATCCCTTAAGTTAGGAAGTTCTGACTGTGGCAGAGCATCTGCAATGTCTAGCACCCACAAAGCAAGCCCCCCGGAGTGGAGGTTCCACCAGGCTGCCAAAGAGGGTTGAACCAGCCCACAGAGGAAAAATGGAGCAACAAAGCTTCCATGCTCATCAGCCCCATGAGGGCTGCCTCCACCTCCAGCCTAGGCAAGAGAGGAAGACCCTTTCAAAAAAATCACAGCTCCAGACCCTATCTCGATTGATGAAACACACTGGTCCACGGGAAACATATTATTTGTTTTCCATAGTATTGGCCTCCGTATACATTACTTGGAGTTGCAGAAGAGACAATGCATGGACCTGGAAAATGTACTTCTGGTCTTCCTAGTATATCACAGAATCATAAATCTAGAGCTGGAAAGGCCACTCGAGGCTGATCAAGTCCAACGCCCTCATCTTACAGATAAGGAAACTGAGGCTCAAAGAGATTAATTGACTTGCCAAAGTCAAATAGTAAGAGAGTGGAATTTGAAGCCAGGAATTCCTGCCTTCAAACCAAGACCACGTTCACTCTGAATATATACTTCTGCACAAATTATTTGCAGGATAGGGTATACAATACTTGGACCTGCAGTGTTTTCAGGAGGTTGCTAGGTGGCGCCATAGTGCATAGAGTGCTGGGCCTGGAGTCAGGAAGACTCATCTTCCTGAGTTCAAATCTGGCCTCAGACACTTACTAGCTGTGTGACCCTGGGCAAGTCACTTAATCCTGTTTGCCTCAGTTTCCTCATCTGTAAAATGAGCTAGAGAAAGAAATGGTAAATTATTCCAGTATCTTTGCCAAGAAAACCCCAAATAGGGTTATGAAGAGTTGGACGTGCCTAAAAATGACTGAACAACACGTGTTTTCAGTGTCCAAAATTCAACTCCTCAGTCTCTGAAACTAGTCTTCTGCAATGTTGTGCAGTCATAGAGCTGTCTGAAACCAAGAGACATTTTTGACTTGCCCAGGGTTACAAGCCGGGAAATATGAACCCAAATATTCCTGATTCCAAGTATAGTGTTGTGTCCACTACTCCATATTGCCCAGGAGGGGTCATATTAGCCGAGATGATGCTATAAACAAAAACATTTTCCGTAATCTTGAGATAGTTCTTTGACCATCAAAGGGAACCAACTGTGCATAGGTGCTCTAAGACACAATCACACCTTTCATTCAGCTGCAGCCTCTGTTTTCAGTGGTCCTCTGGTGAGTTGACACAATAAGGGGGGAGGGAGAGGGGGTTCCATCCCAGCCTTTTCCAGCACAAGAAAAGGCAAAGACAACCAGAGATTGAGTTAGTCTTCCCAAGCAGACAATACTTTTCAGAAAGTCACAGGAAAGCCATCAGTTAAGACAAGATGGTAGAAATTTCAAGAGGAAAATCTAATTTCTGCATGTATCGAATGGACTTTTCCCAGGTACAGAGAATTTAGAAAAGATGCCATCTCCTCGGTTTGTGAAGAGTCACCTGCCAATTGCCCTCCTTCCTAAGAATTTCTGGGAGAGCGACTGTAAGGTAACCACACTCTTTCGAGGCAGACGAAGAGACAGAAGACCAGGGGCCTAGGTAGATTATAGCACCTGCCTTGCCCACCTCAGAGGTCTATGTGTGAAAGTACTTTGGAAACTGTTAATGGATAGACAACGCAAGCTTGTATTATCATCCACCTCCTCTCCCTACCCACAGTCCTAAGGACATAGCGAGGTCAGTAACCTAAGTTTTACTTTCAGCTTATTTTTCTACCAGTTTTCAAGTTAAATCCTCACCTATGTGACTCAATTTCTCAGCAGGGAGAAAAGTAATGTTCAGTGATAGGTGACAAAGGTCAGTACTTTAAAGACAAAACTTACTAAATGTTGGTCTTGACTACGTGCCAGACATTGCACTAAGTGCTGGGGATGTAGAGAAAGGAAAAAGGCAGTCTCTGCTCTAGAGGAGACCACAGTTGAATGGTGGAGACATGTAAGTAACTATATGCCAACAAGAACTAGAGAAGATGAATTGGAGATTATCCATTGAATCAAAGGGGATTGGGAAAGGCTTCCTATAGAAGGTGGAATTTTAGCTGGGGCTATGTGCAAATAATTTTGCTCAAATCAATAACATTGATTGATTCAATATGACGTTTACTAAATTCCTACCATTTCAAGGCAGGGTATAAAATACAGTGGAGAGGGAAAGGGATTATACCTTTATTATCATTAGTATAGGCATTCCCTTTACTAATGCAATTCACCACCTTCTCGGCAAGTGAGGGTCCTAGAGAGATGTTTAGAGAACGTCAAGGTCACATGTCCTGCCCACAGTCCCATGGCCAAGATGTGTCCAAAACAGGACTTAGACTCAGGCCTTCATGGCTTTGAGGCTGGTGCTCTCTTTTTTCTGTCTCTCAGACATTGGGGGGTGTAAAGGGAAAAACAAAAATAGTCCCTGACCACGAGAAGCTTACACGTGTGACCCATGTTCCACCCTGTCCCTGAGATTCCTCGGTTTACATCGATGGCGTCCAATCCTGGGACCTAACTTCCTCAGCATCAATGTTTTCATTTTCTTTTCTTTGCTTATTGTTTCTATCTGAATTTAAGCCGGGAAAGTATTCCAAATTAAGCATAGGTATGTCTAAGCTGTCTTAAAAGTGGGTAATGAGGTCTTCATCTCCTACAGAAGTACTCCATGCCTAATATGGGAATTAGGTGTGGGACGGCCATTGTTTTCACACCAGAGAAAATGAATAAGATACAAAGGACTCCCAGGAACCCATAAACAGATACAGAAACATGGGAATGGGGCAGCTTACCAATAGTCTCTATTGTAGTCAGGGTCTGACTCCAGCTGATCCGGTGCTTCAGAATCAGAATTGGAATGAAATGTGACAGTTGTAGGCCATCTACCATAACAAAAGATGGTTTGCTTAGCCATAGTTATCAAAAGAACACTCAGAAAGGAGGCGGGTACAAACAGCCCCACTCAACTCCAAATAGCAGGCAGCTACCTGACACAGCAAATAAGAGTGCCAGGCCTGGAATCAGGAAGACCTGAGCTCAAATCCAGCCTCAGATACTTACTAATTGTGTGATTCTGGGCAAGTCACTTAACCCTGTTTGCCTCAGTTTCCTCATCTGTAAAATGAGCTAGAGAAGGAAATGGCAAACTACTCCAATATCTTTGCCAAGAAAACCTCAAGAAGGGGTCATGAAGAGTTGGATATGATTGAAGATGACTAAACAACATCTCCAAACAGAAAAAAAAACAAAAAACTGGTCAGCAGGATGTTTTGGGTGGGATATAGACCACCCACCATGGCTGAAGGTATTTTTATGCCCCAGGCAACCAAAAAACCAATCCAGTCTCCAGGAGGTTTCCCTGCCCTTTGGGGGGGAAACTAGCAAAGCCTACATAGCAGATATGGCTCTCACACAAAGTCTATCAGTTCTGCTATCTGGGCAGCCCTCTGTCGTTCTGGGGAGTCCCTCTTTCCCATGGTCCCTGCAGGATTCCATGTACCAAACTGTGGTTTGAGTCAGGAGTGGAAGCTCATTGCCCATGGACCAGATCCATCCAGCCACCTGTCCTTGCACTGGCAGTGATCTAAAAATGGTTTTTTACATTTTAAAATAACGTTTGATTGTGTTTTAAAATGTAAAAATCATCTTCAGCTTTGTACTGTGACCGGTACGAAAACTAGCATCTCCAGTCCCTGGCTTGGACTCCCCCAAGAAGGCGATAACTTACTTTGGAACTTGCTGAGGTTGGCCTTGCCTAATGAGCTCCCCAGTTTTGCTCTGTAAGTCAGGCTCTGGGCAGCCTTCTGCGCACTGCCCTCCTGTCTGCCAAGAGCGGACTGCGTCCAGAAATTTCCATTCTCTGCAGGGTTTGGCTCCTGAATTCTCAAACTCAGAAACTCTTAATCTTGAGGTTACCAAAACCACCAAGGCAGATATTCCAGAGGAGAACAAGCTTCTCCGGCCAGAAGGCTGGATTCTGGGACCACATTGCCTAGTGAGTTAAAATCTCCACAACACCCCCTCTTCTTTACACAAGATGCTGGGGTGCAGGAACAGTGTCCTTGAACTTGACTTCCTGGCCTCTGCAAGCACGTCTGCCACTGTCAAGCAAAGAAAGAACGTGCTGTTGATTTGCATTACTGTTCCTGGAGAGGAGGGAGAAATCCCTGCCCCCGTGCACTCTGGAAGGAGTCCCAAGGGCAGAGTCAAACAGGAAGCCCAGAGAGCAAGAGAGACAAGCTCGTTTTTAGACCACCGGGATGGGACCTCCGATCCTCAGCTGGACAAATATTAGGAGCTTTCTGACCCCCTTCGGTTGCTTTCAAACAAGGGCCCCCACCCTGTAGTTCCATCAGGTTGAATGACCTCAATTTGATCCATGACTCAGCTAATCCAACCTTTAAGATTTGCAAAACACTTTACAAATATTATCTCATTTTATCCTGACCACAACCCTGGCTTGGAGATTAAGTGACTTGCCTAGAGTCATACAATTAGGAAATATCTGAGGTCAAGCTGAACTGAAGTATTCCTGACTTCAGGTCCATTGCTCTAACCACTGCTCCACCTAGCTGCCTCATGCAAGACTGGGTTCAATCATCACAGAGTCTGACCAATTAAGGAATGGGATTAGACTTTTCTCACACTCTCCGCCTCATTATGCCCTTGCCTCCAAGTAGAAAACCTCTGATGCTCATGTTTAGAGTCTCTGAATAATTAACAGCGTCCCTTCTAGAAAAACACCCAATGCACAAAACATATCAGATATAGGACTGTTATTTATTTCCTTCACTACAAAAGAAATGCTTAAAATACAAAAGTTGCAGAAACCCACATTGACAGATACTTAAAACATGAAACTCCTCTTCTACTCTCCTGGAAAAGAAAATTCCTGGGAGATTTGTGGGACTGCTGACCAGGCATTTCAACTTCACATCAGTCAACAAGCATTTATTAAGCTCTAACTATATGCCAAGCCCTGTGCTGAGTTCTGGGAATACAAATGCAAACAGAAATAAAAATGGTCCCTGCCCTCATGGAGCTTGAGAGCTGAAAAAGAGATGGGGGGAAGATGAAGAAGGCTGGGGTGAGGACACTATAAAGAAAATCCAAGAAGGGAAGAAAACCACATCTATTAAGTGCCTACCATGTACTCACCCTACATTGGCTCACTTAAAACGATGGCTTTTGATCTTTTCTTTTCCCATTCCCAAAGCTCAGGCGCTTTTAGCCACAGGTTTGAAAGGACTCCTCAGCACTCTTGGCTCTGCTCCCTATAATGCCTCTTTCCTCTGCTGCCTGCCTACAGATAATCTACGTGGCTCGGAATGCCAAGGATGTGGCAGTCTCCTATTACAACTTTGACAGAATGAACAAGTTCCACCCCGAGCCAGGCACATTCGCCGAGTACCTGGAGAAATTTATGTCTGGCAATGGTAAGCAAAGCAAGTAAGACAAACTCACTGGGATAAGAGTCACAAAAGCTGCTGCTGGCAAAAGTATTATGTAGATCCGAAAGTGATCAGTAAATGCTGTGTATTATCACCGTGATCTCACCTAAGTCTTTGCCCTCTTTTTTGTTTGTTTGTTTGTTTGTTTGTTTGTTTGTTTGTCTTGGCTAGGCAATGGGGTTAAACAATTTGCCCAGGGTCACACATCCAGTAAGTGTTAAGTGCCTGAGGCAGGATTTGAATTCAGGTCCTCCTGATTCCATGGCCTTTGCCCTCTTAAGTGTTCATCTTCTTTGTTCTCTCCTTGATGGGTTTTCTATATCTTCCCATGTTCTTTCTTTTTCTTTATGTTCCTCTACTAAACCTGTAACCAATACTTCTAGTCATCTCCCTTTCCCTATAACTAGATGCTCGATTTCACAATCACACAATCATCAAGAAGAAGTTGGCGGGGGGTAGGAGAAAGCTAATTTTCTTCTTCCTTCGGTACTTTCATATCCAGAGTTAAAGCAGATTACTGGCATACTTCATTAGATGTCTAGAGATCCCAATCTAGTGTGGGCACATGTCTAGCCTGAAATGTTTCTAATATATTTCCGCTCTCCATTTTATTTTGTTTTCTGAACATAGTGGCCTATGGTTCCTGGTATGAACATGTCACAAGCTGGTGGGAGAAGAAGAAAGATCACCCCATACTCTATCTGTTCTATGAGGACATAAAAGAGGTAGAGCTGGCACAGCGATATATTTCAACTAATACTCTTCATACCAACGAGATGGGAGGTTGAGTCCATCCAAAGTGAAATAGGCAAATTGGTGACCAAGGTTCTTCCATGCAAGAGATCCATACTAACCTCTGGCCTTCAATACAAACATCTGTTGAATGAGTGGTTTCCATCTTATTTTAGTTTTTGAAAATTAAGTATGCATAATTGTGTCCAGTAGAAGGTTCAGCTATAATCGATTAGGTACCAATGAGGATATGATAACCCCACAGGACAGTTTTTGCTTCCAATTCTTCAACTTGACTTCTTCGAAATCAAAGGATTTGGGTTTATATCCCAACTCTGATGTTTATCACTTGTGTGACTTTGAGGATGTCAATGTCTATCTCAAACCTCTAGTAAACTAAATGAACTCGATACGGTTTTCCTGGGCTTATACAACTAATAGGTGACAGAACCATAATGCATCTCCTGATTCAATTCATGGAATCATAGATTTAGAGCTAGAAGGAATCTGAGTACCTCTGGTCCAAAGCCCTCCTTTTATAGATGAGCACACTGAGGCTTAGAGAGATTAAGTGATTTAGCAAAGGTCACATAACTAGTAAAAGGCCAAGCAACATCTCCCACTAGAGACCCACTGGAGCCATCGCCAGTCATCCTGACCTATGTCTTGCCACTGGACCCCAATGACTCTGGAGGAAAGAGTGAGGCATGACTCTGCCTCACTTACATCCAATTCACATGCAAATCAAGACCTCCCCATCCTGATGTGTCTTAGAGAATAAAATAGGAACAACATAAAAAAGAGCTAGTGTCAGAGTCGAGATCTGAGCCCCAGTCTTCCTGACTCCAGGCCCCCTCTCTCTCCACTGAACCGCTCTGATTGCATCCAGCTTTCTTCCACATCTGGCTGCCTTCCTAAAACATTAATAGTAGAAGAAAATGAGGAAGCTTATCCTTATGGAAGGCAGAATAATTGAAATGAGAATGCAATGTGCATTCCATCTCCAAAAGCAGCACTCATCGTAGGTCAAAATGGTTTCTAATTATTTTTAATCCAATAGACATTTATTAAATTTTGAAATTAATTTTTAATTTAAAAAATTAATTAATTTTTCCCCTTTTTTATCATTGTGTAACTTTGTGGCCCAGCTGAGATTTGAAGATCGAATTAAACGTATCAAGTCCATAAAGCTTAATAAGGGTTGTTGAATAATCATCTCACTATGGGAATCCACATGACTTAGAATCAAATGCGCTGACAAATACTTACATTGTTGGTCAAACAAATGTATATTTGGAGTCAGTAAATTAACAGTAGAAATTAGAAGGAGTTACAGATTTTAAAGTCACAGACCTTTTGTTTAACTGGCTTAAATTTAGTTCACCATACTACCGAGGACCTTCACCTTTCTTATCTCTCAAGGTGTCTTTCTCCATCCATAGGACCCAAAGAGGGAAATTCGGAAGATAATGGAATTCCTAGGAAAGAAATTGGATGAAGAGGCCTTGGACAGAATTGTCCAACTCACCTCCTTTGAAACAATGAAAGATAACTCCTTGGTGAATTACAGGTTACTACCAACCACCTTGATGGATCATAGTATCTCTCCTTTTATGCGCAAAGGTGAATATCTCCATTTTTAACTTTTTTGGTTCAGATCTACAATGTTAGCAATGTGGGGAACTCCCAGCATGGAAAGACCCTCCACCAATACAGTTTCACGCTTCACTGATTTGTCATTTATAGTCTAAAAGAGTTGTCTGGGGCATTGAGACATTAAATACCTTGTCCATGGTCACACAACTATTTCTGACTCCAAAGTGACCTTCTATCCACTACAGAAGCTACCTCTCCAAATAGTTTGGAGATAATAAATAAATATAAAAATAAGTTTGAAAAGTCTAAAAAATAAGTTTGAAAGCGTAAATCTAAACATTTATATTGAGAAGAGAAATTAAAGGTCATCCAGTCTAATCTTCTTATTCTGTACATGTGGAAACTAAGGCCCGTGGGCATCAAGTCCAAGATCACACATCTTATAAGCAGGAGAACTGGAATTATTATCATCATCATTATTATTACTATTGTAGTTGTTGTTGTTATATAGTGCTTTAAGACTGGCAAAGCACTTTACAATCCTGGGAGACAGATTAGCCTCATTTTACAGTTAAGGAAACTGAGGTGCAAAGAGATAAGTAATTTGCCCAAGATTACAGAGCTAGCATCTGAGGACAGATTTGAACTCATATCTTATCCTAATTCCAGGTCCAGTGCTCTATCCACTGCACCACCTAGCTGCCTCAACCGTTTTTGAACTTTATTTCCTCTCATTTCAACCTAAGGAGAGATGGCATGACTTTCTTCCTCTAATCATAATGTGATGGCCAGAAGTAATTGCTAACATTTATTAAAATATTATCTGAGAGGCAGCTAGGTGGCGCAGTGGATAGAGCACCAGCCCTGAAGTCTGGAGGACCTGAGTTCAAATCCGGCCTCAGACCAACACTTGACACATACTAGCTGTGTGACCCTGGGCAAGTCACTTAACCCCAAATGCCTAAAAAAAAAAAAATTTAAAATATTATCTGGTTCCTCCAATTATCATTGACCCCTCCTCCTCCTCAAAGCTCTCACAAGAGGGTTGGTATTTTCATCTACTTTTTTTTTCTTTGGTCTTCAGGGATTGCTGGTGACTGGAAGAACTACTTCACTGTGGCACAAAATGAGAAATTTGATGCAGATTATGAGAAAAAGATGAGTGGAACAACTTTGAAGTTCCGAACTGAAATCTAAAAAAATACGGGTTGTTACGCATAAATAGATTTGTTGCGATTTCATTTCAACAAATATCTCTAATGAAAAGTTTTGTTTTCTTAATCTAGAAAATAAAAGCAACTACCTTGATGGTTCAAATAAGGGTGCTTGCATAAGAGAATGGAGCCAAAAATTTGGGCAATTTCTAAGAACACCAGCTCCTGTCCAATTTCTGACCAATAGTTTTTTTTTTAATTTAATTTAATTCTTTTCAGTTAACACATCTATTTTCTCTCTATCCCATCTTGCTGTCTCCTTCCCCACTCCCTCCAAATGAGGGGAAAAACTCTAGTAATAAATATGCATAATCAAGCAAAACAAATTCACTAACTGACTGCGTCTCATTCTTCACCTTGAATCCATTTTTTTTAAGTACGTAGGTAGCGTGTTTCATCATTGGGTCTCTGAAGTTATGGTTTGGCATTGTGCTGAACAGTAAGTTTTTAACTGACCCATCTATTTCTCCCCCCATTCTCATTCCATATGAATACCTCAAGTCAAGGTTGTGTCCAAAGCCTAAATCATTATTTCTTGATATCATGCTAGCCCTTTTCATACCATTCCCCCTTTTGAACCGGTTTTATGTTTTGTAGGTACTTCAGTTGGGACAGAGAGTATATAGTAATTCATAAGGGTATAGTAATTCATAAGGGAAGTTTAGCTTGGTCATTAGATTGTAAGCTCCTTGAAGTCAGGGACTTTTATCTCTCTTTATATCTCCGGTACTTAGCACAGTGCGTGGCACATTGTAGGTGCTTAATAAGTGTTGATTGACCTACTTACTGGCCATGCACACTGAAAAACTTCTAAGAAGGTAAACTCAAGTTCATAAAAGCAGCAGCATACCATTAATTTCTTCACTAATTTCAACAGCAAAAACAGGGCAAACCAATAATTCCTTCAGCCTCATGAAACTCATGGGGAAGGAGTTTGGAGAGAGATGATCATTCAAAATCACATTGTTAACTTTTTAACTTGGAGGGGGGAAATGAAAAAACAAAACAAAACACACTTATTAAGCACTTACTTTGTACCAAGCACTGAACTAGGAACCAGGAATACAAACAGAAAAAGAAAGCAGTGTCCTGTACCCACCCTCTAGGTTTGTCTTGGGTTCACTGCTCCAGAATTGCCTGTCTCCTGAGAGGGGAACCAGGTTCCTAATGCTCTGATTCCACCCCCACTTCAGATTCCTGAGGAGCAATTCTACATTGGGCTCTAGTCTGAGAGATCCTCTGTAAACAGGGGAAAGAGTCATTAAAAAAAAAAAATAAAAAAGGTGGGCAAAACACAAACATGAATCAGGTCTAGAACAGGTAGTTTTATTCCCACACAGAAAAGGGAATGCTAAGAAATAATCATAGGATGAGCATTGTCGAGACATTTGCAAATGCCTCAACATACATTTCACTCCACTGTGTGTAGCCCCATTAACACCGAATGGACTCCTTCTTTCTGGCCTTCTCTCTCTCCCTTTGGGTGACTCTTTTCCTCTTGGGAAGTCTGTCTCCGTTGCTGTTGATTGCTACCGTTTCAATAGCTCTGGTAGCTGCTACCTGGGAAGGGAAGGGAAAGGAAAGACAACAGCTACTTTTAGAGATCTCACAGGGAGGGACCCGTGCCAAAGGAAAGAAGAGACAAATGGTAGGTAGCTACGTCCCCGGCACAAGCTTGTCTGGGAAGCCATGACCTCATGGCAAAGCACCAGGTAGAGGGATATAACCTGACCCTCTGGAGCTATGAGAGTCATACTTCCAGGCCAGCAAGAAAAACAGGTCTGAGTGGCAGGGATTACTCCTTTAGTATAGCCAAGGAGTTCCAGCTCAGCAGTCAGTTATCATGACCGACAGGAAGTAGTCAGAGTATATCTGCCCCTGTTTTGAAAAAGGGGATACAGGGAAGTGAACCTCTATTACATTCCCAAGAGGGTGATACTGGTATTAAAGGCTTGAAACTTTTTCCCACACTTTTGGCATTTTTTTTGACTCACCAACGTTAGGGTGACCCTTTCCCCAATGTCTTTCTTCATCATCCCCTTGCCTGGCCCTGGGATTGCCCAAAACCCATTTGAGATGGTCAGGCAGCAGAAAGACTCACCACCACTGAAAAAAATCATCCACCTTTGCCCAGGCTCCTTGAAACTCATGTGGCTTAGTAATAGAAAAGTATATTATATTATATCATATCATATCATATTATACAATTATTATATATAATATTATATATTGTATCATTACACAATTCTATTCATTCTGATGAAATAGAAGTACCTCGTATCTTACTATCTACCCTTATACCCTTACCATAAAACCTGCCTTTAGCACTCTTGTCTGACTTACCAACATGACCTAAGAATGCCTAGGTCTTTCCATATACCCCATCACCAAATTCTTAGGATTCTGAGGTCTTTCATCATTGCAATCTACACCTCTCTCTCTCTCTCTCTCTCTCTCTCTCTCTTTCTCTCACTCTCTTTCTCTTTCTCTCTCCACATATATGTATATATATATATATATGTATGTATATACACACACATATACATATATATATATGTGGAGTATGTGTATGTGTTTGTGTATGGTGTCTCCCCTAATTAGAGGGAGGTTCATTGAGAACAGGGTTAGCCACTTTTTCAATTTGTATTGCTGGCGCTTAGCACATAGTAAACACTTAACTTTTTCATTCATTCATTTATTCATATTTTCCAGTCCCCTCATACCTTCACATTGTGTGGCCTCCATGTGGGACAGAGACCAGTACTCAACAAGACAAAGACTTAGGTATCTTGAAAGCAGAAAGGAGTTTATTGCTTTCTCATGATAAAGGGTACTGCCCCTGGTCGCCCTAATGGCGCCCCTGCCAGAGAGGATGAGTAAGTACAGAAAGCAAAGCCTATTTATATTCTAACGTGAGTTCCTTCTCCCTAACCCCCTTCTCATTATCCCATTGGCCAGGCTTGAGCACAATATATTCACAGAAATCTTCCCCAGCAACAGAGTACACAAGTTTGCCTGGAGACAAGAAAAGGTGGAAAGTCTTGCAGTTTAGGTTGGGGGGGGAGGGGTAGGGCTATTCTATTCTTTCTGATACATGCTTAAAAACAGGGTCTGAGGGGGTTTTGACAAGGTCAGAAGGGAGTGTGTTTCAACAATACAATTAAATTCCTTGAGAAGGCCATCTACAACAGGTACCTCTAATTTCTCTCCTCCCACTCTTCTTACTATCTGCCCTCTGACCTTATCTCTCTCCAAATGACCGGTGATCTCCTAATTGCTGCCCTTTGTGAGAACTATTAACAAAAACTATCAACCCTTTGAGGAGGCTTCACTTCTGAGAGATCATCTCTCACACCTCCAACATAAATCTCATTTTTCACATGTGATTTAATCAAGATGCTTTTCTCTATCTTACTCTCTTTAGTGCCATTTCTAAAGACTCTGATATTACAGTCCAAGTCTGATATCTTTACTTTCCTCAATGGTGAAGAAGTTTTTTTATAAAAATTTTTGGAGATCTTTCACATTTTTCTTCTGTTTGCTCTTCAGTTTTGGTGCTTAAATGGCCTCAGAAGAACTTTGCTTAGTTGGATCTCTTGCCAAGTTTTCTTTACATGGGTTTCACACTCCATTGCCTCCATTTGATGACATATTATTCCCAGTTCATAGCTTTCCACCATTCCTCTCTATTAAGATTTCAAAAACTAGTTTACATTCTAAACTGGTATTTCATTTGGCTACTTAGTAAGTAAGTCAATTGCTTGATGATGAATGTGTTTTTAGGCCATTTTTGTCTTCTTGTTCTAGACATTTGCTTACATTGATTAAACTTCTGCATAAAATTATTATGATTCATGCCTATGGCAACTTCTTCTTTCTTCTTTAGCTCTGTTCCACTGTGCTCTTAATGGTCAAATTAGTTCTATAAAATTTTAGTGACATATGTAAATAAACATTCCAAATCTAACATTCATAGCTCTTTCCTATATGCGTACATCTTTTAGTATTGGGATTCAGATTTACTCTACAGTTATATTAAGAAAGATCTTCCTAATTATTCCTCCATCTTTCTTATCTCATGGCTTTGCAAGGAAACTGGCCCAGGGAAAGGAATGATTAATAATAACATGTGGAAGCCATTATCAAACACAGAGCACTCTTTATCTTGGGTCTTGGACAGTCAGGATGCACATTTACTGCTGCCTTTGTTTTTTCGTGCTAGAAAGTCATTCAATCCAAGCCCCCACCATCCTTCCAAGACCACACAGCCCAGATTCTAGAGAAACAAGGCAAGAAGGAGTCCCCCATGGCAGTAAATTCATGGGGAAGCTTAAGTCAGCAGACTCTGCTCCTCCCCATGAGATTGGTGTGATCAGCTTGCCATGCCTTCCCCTGGGTTCTTTTGGTCTATCTAGGCTTCAGCAACATCAATTCTGCTCGATGAATTTTAGAGACCATGGAAGTAGTTACAGTACTAAGTCAAGGGCCCTCCAGGTCCCTGATGAAAGACCTGAGGTCTGTCTTTAATGCTCTGACTTCTTTCTCAGGGTCCAAAATGGCAGCCAACCCAATCCATAATCTTTGCACCTGAAAAGTTTAAATACCAAGTCAAGATAGCAGATTTAAGGAGTTCTTTATTATGTAAGAGGGCCACCTCAGGGACAATTAATAAAAAATTTTACTGGCCTATAGGCTGGCAGCCTGGTATAAGGACCTCAAACCCATTTTTCTTTCCCTTGGTAAAACATTACACTAATGCTAAGATAAGGAACATGGGGGAAGGGGGAAATGATTAAAGAGAGAAGGAAGAGAAAAGGGAAGACAGAATCATATCCAAAGGGGAATGAATGCTTTGGGTGGGGGGAACGAGGACAGGAACCAGCCCCTCCCCCCAGTCCCTATGCTTCACTCACCCAGCACCAAAATTAGCCCAAAATTAACAGTCTATGATGCTAAACACTAAGATCTGCCCAGCCCTCACCCCACCCCCACCTTCATAAGGACTGCAGCAGTAAGAATGAAGTCAAGCAATAGAATTTTAAGTCATTGGATAATTTTTTGAAATATATGCCACTGTGGTTACTCTATGCAGGAGAGGCTACATTTTCCCTAAAAAGTAATGAAACCATCCTCAAGAATCAACCAGTGGGAGAGTTAAATCTCAAACTATGGATGTAACCTCCTGGTGGCCTAAAAATAAAAGCCCAGGGTGTGAAAAACCGTGACCTCCTTAGGCTTGACACACTGCTGACCCTGAC